TCTCCTGCCTGAATGGAGGGAGTCCTCTTCTTCACTAGTGGATTTTACTACCCTCCCCTGAGAATTGTGCTCTGTGTTGAGAGGACTTGCCTGCTGACTCAAATTTAAAGGGAACCATAACCCTTCCTTTATGGCTGGCAAGATGTGGCAATGAGAGAAATGTCCAGTCTGAGAGTTGACTCCTCATATCTGCTGATTATCTGTTACTGCTGCCCTGAGCTGGGGCTCAAGGGCTGGGAAATCTGTTGGTGCTACCCTGCCCTACCATTCACCCAGCTCACTGACTGCCAACAGGAAGTGCTGTTTGGCCAGTTTCTTCCCATTCATCCATGTCTCTTTTGTCCCTAGACCAAATGTGTTTACCTATCTGCTTTGCCAATTTAGCCAGCAGCTTTAGCCAACCAGGCCATCTGGCCCAAATGTCTCCTAGCCATTCTGTCTCGTTTATGACTTTTATATCAACAGGATTCTGTATTTTGTCCCCGTTTCCTCCTGAGTTCCTGGCAAGGCTACTCTAATCACGCTAAAGGGGGAAATAATAGTGACAGAAGCATTTGCGCTTTATATAAAAATTAAAAAGAATTTGCTTTTATTTCCCAAAGTGGGTCTCTGGGATTGAGACACTTGAACTCAGGCAGAGGCACAAGGCTGGGCAGGGCTGCCCCGAGTTCAGGAGCCTATCCTTGCATTTCACTTAGACCTCGGAATCTCCTCTGTAAATTCCACCTGCCTAGTTCTCTATTTTCGCCCTGTCCCTCTTCCCATATCATCAGAGAAGAAAAATTCTTGGTTGAAAAGGAAGAGAAAACAAAGCATCTTATTTTCTTTTTAAAAAATTTTAAACCATGGAAAAGATATTTTTAAAAAAATCCACCCAGAACGTTAAAGTTCATTATATTAAGTATTTATCATGTGTGAGAATAATAAGTATATAACTGCAGCTAGTAGGTCTTTTTCCCTAATCTCTTAGGTTGTACGAGTAGGGTTTGCTTGGTGCCAGTCCTGTGCCCTTTTCTCTCCTGTCATCTGTAGTTGCAATCAGAAAAAGTATCCACACTGCACTGTCAGAATCTCCTTTCACTATGTTGTGTGTTAAATTACCGTAGTTCTTTGTTTAATGGAATAAACTGTGAATTTTTTTTGTGTGTGTGGTGAGGGGTTGTGCAGGCTTTGTAAAAAAATTGTAAGTGGAGAAGTTCAATCCTATAATAGCTTCTGAAGTAGGCTTTGGTAGGTAATTTTCTTGACAGCCACTTTAGATATGTCTCATGGGACAGGAAGGAGTGAGGGAAAAGTGGGCCAGGATTGACCACTTCATGGTTTTGTTTTGGTCCTTTCCATTTTCCACCACTCACTGAATACTTCCTTCCAGACCTGCCTGGGAAAAAACTGAACTATGCTTGGTTTGGGGGATAGGAGGCAGTTCTTTATCTGCATGGATTGAGTGCCAGGCTTTCCTGGGTGCCATTTGAGAAGACTCTAAGCTTGAGTGGGACCTAGAAATTCAACTGTGAGGCCCACTGATCTCAGCATCTCATTCTAGATTAACATCTTATCATGAAAGCAGTCCCTGTACAATTAGAAGCACAATCAGGACTGTTGGGAATTGAGACTTGCATGATGCTGAGAGGGAGTTACTACCCTTGAGGACTCTCTTAGAGCCTGTGCTAAGATCTATTCTCCAAGGATTGTGAGTTGGAAATTAAAAGGTAATCTTTTCTCTTAGATATTCCTGATCTTTAGGCAGGATGGTATTTTTGGTATTTGGCCAAGTGCTTGGAAATCGGATCTCAAGAGAATATGCCTCTAAGTCCCTTTCCCAGGAAGCTTTTCCCAGGGGAAGCCATAGCTTCCATAGGTAGCTAGAGAACAAATACCTCTCCTAGCCCTGTTAAGTCAGGGGAAAATTATGGAAACTGTTAAATTCAAAGCCTCTTTGCTTCTACTGAAGACAACCCATTGTGATAGCAAATAGCTCTCATCGCTACAAAAGCATCCAAGTTTTTAAATGTCTGCATCTCCCTAAAGTTCCTGAGTTTGAGGTAATTTAAATCACTATGTTGATCCTCTTCTGAACAACTACCAAATCTACATCTTTGGCATTGAAGAAAATAATTGTATTCTTCATATCTTCTACCCCACACCACAGTCAGGGCATGAAATGCATCGGTGATTTTTCACAGGTTTTGGCAGCATCTACTCACTGGAGCTGGACTCCCAGGTCGCCTGTGAGAACACTGGCAGGAAGGAAGTCTGGTCCAGGCAGTTTCCCCTGTGGAGGAATTAGGAGAGCACTAAACATGGACAGATGTTGGCCTCAGCTCTACAAAAGTTTTTCTCCTAAGGCTTTCTTGGGAGATAGCGTCATCTTGGGGTTTGTCAGAGTGGTCCAATATATCCCCTCTGAGATCATGGCAGGAAGGGAGCTACCATAAGTCCCTTTCCTATAAATAATGTTTAGGCTGTCCCATGTGTTGGACATTCCACATCATTTAAACTAGGTAGCTGCTTGAGACTTTATTTGGCTATGGCCAGTTAGCTCTCAGCTGAACTTCCTAGGGCCAGATTGCTGTAGTATAAATTGAAATAAGAATAGGTAATTGCTTTGTACACACTCAAAAAAATGTAATGATGGTGCTAATTTCCTGGTATAAATAAGCACTGCCAAGGGTTGAGGAACTGGTGACTTGAGAAACCCGAGTTCCTGTTTGGGAGAAAAAGATTTTATGTACAACAGTTCTTTGAAGCTCCGTTAGGAGAGGGCAGAGCCTCGGTGAAGGCTATACCCAATCCTGGAGTGGTCCAGCGCAATCCAGAGATGGAAGAGATGCCATGTCCAGGTGAGGGTGGCCATTGAGTTTTTCAGGGCTGGTGTCACCTTGTCCATAGCCTCTGTCCACACTGCCTAGAATAGGTTGGTAGAGAGCTCCAGGTATGGGGTCTCCCTCAGTTACCTTCTGCCCCTCTCCACCTCTCACTCTCATGGGAACCTCTATTGCCTATGAAGATTAAAGGTGGTATTTAAGGAAATATAACGTTAATTAGAAATCCACAGCCTGGAAAGCAGTGTTTCCTATCAACATAAGCAAAACACAGCAAATGTTAAATTCTTAAGTGGTTCCTTCTCTAGAGCTGCTTTCCCATGACTTTCCAAACACCAGGCTATTGAGGGACTTCAAGGGTAACACCCTGGAAGTTGAGCAGAGCTTTGTGGAGAGGAGAGCCCAGGGAGCAGAAGCAGAAATGGATGGCTGTGGTGTTTTAGACTTCCAGAGGAGGGGCAGAGAGCAGGTGGTCTCCAGGTCTGAGGTGGGTGCTGCCTGTGTGTGCATGGAGGTGTGTAACGATGGGTGAGTGCAGCACACAGCAGCTCGTGGGAGAGCAGATTTCAAAGTCTTGGCAAAGAAACAAGCTGACAGTAGAGATCTACCTTTATATTTTTAAGAAAAGGGGTGTGGGGGGAACAGCTGAGGTCCATCGCTTTTTTTTTTCTTTCTCCTCACCCCCATAGATTGTCAGCTGTGAAACTTTTAGTGGAAAAGAGGGGAGCCCTGTGGTAGGAGTCCCCATAAACATGTACTGTAATTCTTTGTATATAGAAAAAAATTACTGTAAAGTAAAGTTTAACTTTACTCTTATGGCCCTTGCCCTGTGTTGTGTTTTGTTGTTGATGGGGAGATGTAGCTCAAAGGAGGGAGGGTGGGTTTGGGGTGAGAGCAGAAGCCAGCCCCTGCACTAGCGCCCAGGTGGGACAGTGGAGCTGAGCACTTTTCCAAGCACCTCATGGGAGTGGTGGGTTTCCTCTCAGGAGTCGTTAGGTGCCAAAATGTCTTGAGAGTGGCTGGTGTTTTCATCTCTATCAGGAAGTCATCACCCATGAAGTAAGGGTATTTTGAGGAATTGGTCTTTAAAAAGGAAGTAGAACCAAATGATTTCCTGAGTGTGAATCTGCCCAAAATGGCTCAGTTTTTAGTTCCTCAGAGGCAGGTGCTCTTAGACATTACAGAGGATCCAGTCTAAGGCAGGAAAGCAGAAACAAAGGGGCCAAGCCTCCATACAGGAAAGGGCTGTCATGTCCTTTCTTTCAGTTGAATTGGAAGTGTGAGCCCTGTTTACAATTAACACCTGGTCCTCCAAGGTCCAAAAATAAAATGAGGCAGCCTTGGGAGTCTGCCTCCCCTTCTGACCTAGTCTTGAATTTCCTGTCCCTTCAGCAAAAGCCCTTCATGGGAGATAAGCATTTAGTCAAAGTTACGTTTATGATCTTCACAGTCCTGAACTGGGCAGTGGTTACCTCATTTTACGGATACATTCAGGCTGAATTTAAGTCCCTTTTCTAAGTATCTGAATTAGATACCCACCCGAAAGAATTTTGTGTAACATGATATTTCTACCATTAAACCACATTGTAGGGTGCTGATGGGAAGCTGAGGACATGAGCCAAAGGTACGATGTGACAGGTGCGGTAGAACCAGCCAGAGGAGGAAGTGCTTGATCCTTTGATCTCTGGACAGCACTTAGTTCTTGTTTTGCTCTTCTCAGCACCAAGAAGGATTGTGAGTTTTGCGCTTTCCCAATCCTAAAGTGTAGGAAAAGGCTCTTGTTTCTCCATTATCTCAGCTGCAACCCTGGGCTTTAGTTAACTTGGTTTCCAAAGGAAAATTAGGGCTGGGAGGAGTCATAATATTAATAGTGAGGCCTAAGAAAGGGCTGAGTGTGATTCACAGTGCATTGATTTTATTTACAAATCAGAAGCCACTTAAGTAATCTGCAGACACAGTGCTGTCCAGGGAAGAAGCCTGGAGTCCAAATCAGCCTTTACCCTCCTGATGACCATCAGTTAGCCCAATGCTGCACGTTCCATGGGCCAGCACAGACAGATGCCACTTCTGCTGCCATGGAGACTTGGGGTAGCTTACATGTTTGACCAAGCCCAGACAAGAACTAGGTCCAGCCCCTTGGGGAATTCCTTTAATTCCCCAGGCCAAATAAGTGGTGATTCAGTGATGACAACAGCTGTAGAAGTAGGGATTTGCCTTCTGGCCCAGGTCCACGCCCTTGTCCTCTGTTAAAAAGAGAGGTGGTAGCTCAGCACCAGTCTGTTGGGGGATCAGGTAACACATGTGAAAGGGGCCTAGAGGAAGTCTCCAGAGAGACCAGGGAAGTACACACCTGTCATCACCTGGAAGGCGGCCACGCTGACGTAATCCTCTGCCACTTTCTGGAAGAGCTCGTCTGGCAGGAAAAAAGGCCATCAGTGGAGGCCCAATGCCAGGAGCCCTGGGATCACCCAGTGACACAGCCCTCTAGGCTCTTTGCTTCCTCTGGTGCCCCCGCCTGTTCCTGCTGTGAGGCCCAGGACTGCACTCACCCACACTCTGGCCTGTCTTGCTGGATGTTTCAAAGAGCTGAGCTTTGATATCTGTAAAGAAAAGCGACTAAAGCTTCATATCTGAGAATCAGGTGGACACTGACAAAGAGGAAGTCTTCTGGACCCCACAGGTTCAGCGAAGCCTGAAAGCTTTCCCAGATGATCTTGTCATGGTAGCCAAACAGTCCCTATTTTCTGTGACCCACCCAAACAGCCACTTCCCTACCCCGCCCCCAACAACTGAGAAGCAACTACTGTCTGCATAGTCCTGGACATCGTGGAAGTCCACACGTCGACGCCGCCTGTCCTCCTCCAGCAGGTCACTCTTGGTGCCACACAGGTAGATCTGACAGCCCTGAAGCAGAAGACAAGGTCAGGGTAATCCATACAGACCACTAGCCTCTGGTTCTCTGGGAAGGTCTGGCCACCTACCTCCTCTAGGTTTTGCAGTTCCTTTACCCAGAACTTTGCCCGCTCAAAGCTGCTGCTGTCTGTGAGGTCTTGGTATAGAGCAGGAAGGAAACAACCAAAGGTCAGGGGCTAGTCGGTAAGGCCAGCCTGGCACCCACCCCTTCTTGTTCGAGGAGCAGATGAGAACCTCCCTTACCATAGCAGACGATGGCAGCCTTGGCACCTCGATAGTAGATTCGGCTCATAGCCTCGTAGCGCTCAGAGCCTGCTGTGTCCTGAAGGGCAGGGGGGAAGCTCATCGTTGGCCTGAGTTACTGAGTTTCTCCCCAAGACTGGAAACTAACACGTCCTCCAGACCCCCATTTTTAAACCGGGGTCTAGAGAAGAGAAATTGCCTCTACAAGGCCACAATCAGACACGAATAGGCAGGACTAAGCCTCAATAGACATTCCCAGGGCTACCTGCCCAAGGGACTTACCCAAATGCCCAAAGTCACTGTCCGATCTCCGACAGACATCACCTTGGCCACGAAGGCGGCTCCGATGGTCTGCAACCAGGGGGAAGCAATGAGGATCGCGGGAGCGGGCTACCTCCCACCCGCGCCGGGCCCGCGGGGCGCACTCACGTTCTGATAGGGCCCCACCAGGAAGCGGTCGTGCACGTATCGCTCTACCAGGCTCGTCTTACCCACGTACTCCTTGCCCAGCATAACCACCTTGAGGTCCACGCGCTGCCCGCTCATGCTCTCGGGGCCGCCTCGCCCGCGACAGGGGCCTGGGCCCCGTGCGAGGCAACCCCGGATCTCCGCCCGGGCCGGCGGCGCCCAAGCCCCAGTCACTGCCGCTCCAGACGCGGCGTCGGGCTCGCGCTCCGGCAGCGCCCGCCTGCCCCCGCTCCGCGGCCCGGGCGCCGATCCTTCCAAGCGCCCCGGGAGCGTGTGGGGCAGCGCCCTCAACGGCGCTGCGCTCCGCCGCCCGGCTCGGACGGAAGGACTCCCCACCGCGCTCGGGGGCCGCTCCAGCCCAGGTCCGGCTCGCACCGACGCGGGTCCCGCTGGGGGAGTGGGCAGGAGGGGCGGGACCGAGGGTCACGTGCTCCGGCGCCGGAAGTGGTGGGTGCAGCGAGCCTGCGCCGGAAGTGGCGGGCGGCCCGACAACTCCTCATGGCGGCGGCTGCAGTTGGGGTGCAGTGGGGCGGTGACTGAGCTGGTGCCTGGCGGGCGGGCGTGCGCCGAGCCGGGCCTGGCCTCCGCGTGCCCCGCGGGCTGCGCGCCCCTGATGCTGCTCGGGCGCTGACCCCGCCCGGCCGGGACAATGGTGAAGTATTTCCTGGGCCACAGCGTGCTCCGGAGTTCCTGGGACCAAGTGTTCGCTGCCTTCTGGCAGCGGTACCCGAATCCCTATAGGTACGTGGCCGCGGGAGGAGCCACCCCACCCCCTCGCTGTTTGGTGATCGAAATGTGGGAACGGAGAGGACTCATCTTCGAGTCCAGGGTAGGGGATTGCCGGAACCGTGGCCAGAGGACACAATGGAGGAAGTGGCCAGGCCTGCAAGAGGGTGGACCTGGGCGGTGGTTTTCCTGAGGCCCCAGTCCAAGGTTCTCCGGGGCGGCGAGACAGGAAGAGGCGGCGGCACAGGAATTGGGAGGGATCCTGGTGTTGGAATTCAAGACGCTCTCCTCCTCTGCCCGTGGCCCTCTCCAGCGGTGCAATAAATCATAAAGACCAGCCATGCTGGAAAGTCCAGGAATCCAGGTCAGCGAGAGGGCGGGAGTTGGAATTTGCCCTGGGGTAGGTTCAAGGGAATGAGCCACAACACACATCACTGCAACTTTGAGGGAAGGCCTGGCCCAGAGGCTAGAGATGGGAACCCCAACAGGCAGTCCCTCGGGGGCAGGCTCCTGAGGGTCACCTTCATTTTGACTCCTGCAGCAAACATGTCTTGACGGAAGACATAGTGCACCGGGAGGTGACCCCTGACCAGAAGCTCCTGTCCCGGAGACTCCTGACCAAGACCAACAGGATGCCCCGCTGGGCTGAGCGACTGTTTCCTGCCAATGTTGCTCACTCAGTGTACATCCTGGAGGATTCCATTGTGGACCCACAGAACCAGACCATGACCACCTTCACCTGGAACATCAACCACGCCCGGCTGATGGTGAGCCTCCCCTGGTCCCTCAGACAGAGCTCCAGATAGGTATGGCTAGAAACCATGATGGGGAGGGAGGGAGGCAGTGGTTTTCAAACAGGAATCCATCGAGCCATGAGGGTGCCTTGGTGTGCCTCAGAAGGGAGAGGATCTGGGCCCCATACCCCATGGGGTCTAAAGGAGCAACACTCTTACTTGTCTTACATAATGGATTTCTGCCTAAGAGTTTAGGGAACAGAGGTTCTATATACCTTTGATCTCTTCTTGTCTTTAAAACTTGATGGGTGATGGGCACAAGGTGCAATATAAAGATCTTATAACCTAGAAACCCACACCTGAAACCTGTATGTTCATGTTAACCAATGTCACCCCAGTAAATTTAATTAAAACACACACACACACATACACACACACACACAAAAACCAACTTGAAAATATTTGGATTATATGAGGCAGCAGTTACCAACCTTCTTGGCCAAGCACGAACCATCGGTTGGTGACTGCTGGTTTAAGGAACACTACAATATCTTCTCAAGTGTGAATATCCTGAAGTGTTCGGAAAACTTTCATTCTCTTTCTCACTAATCTTCACAATAACGGGGCGGGGGTGGTTATTACTCTCTTGTGCAAAGAGAAAAGTTAGGTTCAAAGAGGGCAAGTGTCCTACCAGGTCACAGAATGAGCTACCAACTGACTACACTGCCCCAGGGTTATACTTCCCTGAGGGCACTACCCGTTTTCTATGTTCCCAAGATAGTGGTCCTGCTGTGAGAAACGTCTCTCTGCCCAGCCATGAGACAGGTCTTTGAAGGTTTCTGTTGGAAGTACCGATCTACTTTTTCCTCTCTGATGAGAGCTGTGACAACTGTCAGATTTCCATTTTTATTTGGACTTCCAGCGAGCTCAAGAGCTGCAACAGGTGGAAAACAGGCTAAAAACTCTACTCATGACCAGGCAAAGCTACAAAACCAAATCCAGGGTCAGGATGAGCCGGAAGGCCCTCTGCTATCCCATGTGCCTTCTAGTTTAAAGGGTCAGAGGAAAGGCTGTAGAGAGCAAAATGACCTTAATGTTCTTGTTCTTCTGTAAATGCAGCTTGGGATGCATTCAGGGAAAGGAATGGATTTTCATTTTATTGCTCTACCTCGTGAAAAGAGGCAGGAGATCAAATTTGTGTGAAGTGAGCATTGGCCTGACTCCCTGCACAGGTGGTGGAGGAACGATGTGTTTACTGTGTGAACTCTGATAACAGCGGCTGGACCGAAATCCACCGGGAAGCTTGGGTCTCCTCTAGCTTATTTGGCGTCTCCAGAGCCGTCCAGGTGAGCAGCACCGTGGGAGTGCTAGGGCTCTGAGGCCCAGAGCATCTGGCATAGACTGGGCTGGGGGTCCGTGGGCAGCTCAGAATTCTTCCCCTTCTCATCTTTGCCAGGAATTTGGTCTCGCCCGGTTCAAAAGCAATGTGACCAAGTCAATGAAGGGTTTTGAATACGTCTTGGCCAAACTGCAAGGTGAGAACCTCCCAGGCACAGGCCGGGGTCATGTCCTAGCTGCCCTGACTGGTGTGGAACCTGGAGCTGTCGCTGCTCCTCTCTAAGCCTGGGATTCCTCATCTCTTCCTGGGGAATACCACCTTTCTGATGGGGCCTGGCTTGCAGGAAGTGAATGCTGTAGGGAGCGATTAGGTGGGTCTTCTTGGCATCCTCTCAAGCCAGCCTCCTGCCCTTTGCTGCAGGTGAGGCTCCTTCCAAAACCCTAGTTGAGACAGCCAAGGAGAAGGCCAAGGAGAAGGCCAAGGAGACGGCACTGGCAGCTACAGAGAAGGCCAAGGACCTCGCCAGCAAGGCAGCCACCAAGAAGCAGCAGCAGCAGCAGTTTGTGTAGCCAGCCCAGACCCTGTGCGGCAGCACCCCACCCCACCTGCTGCCCCCCCTCTCCCTCCCCCTGTATTTTATTATTAAAAGTCAACTTCCAGCCTGAGCTACTCTCTGGGTAGTGGGTTGGAGGTGGTATCCATTTGGCATCTGCAATGTATCGGACATGCTATCCATGTCTGGGCCAGGCCTGCTGCTTCCTGCATTGGACAGCTGAGGAGGGATGTGCCCAGGGTCACAGACAGCATGCAGGCAAGGTGGTCTTAAACACTAGACTGTAAGCTCCACGAGGGCAGGGACCTTTTTCTCTGCTCTGTCCCAAGTATCTGGAACAATATCTAGCTCATACTAGACACTCAATAAATGTTTGTTGAATTCAATCAGCCCCAGCTGTAGAGTCAGAAAGCTTTGGATCAAATCTTGACTCCACTGTATCTTGGTTTGGGCCTCAGGCAAGTCCTGTCACTTGGCCTCAGTCCCACGCAAAGTGGGGAAAGAGCTTAGCTGTGAGGGGCCCTGCACACAGCCGTGTTCGAGTAGCAACTGATCTCATTTCCTTTTCCATTTTGTGGCTGGAGTTTCCCCATTTTCATCAGGCAAGACCATGGGCAGGAAATGATGAAAGCCTTTTAATGAAAACACTGTACAGTATCTGGGGGGCAAAGGCCAGGGGGCCTTGTCTAGGAAGAAAGGTGGAGGTGGGCCCAAGAGGCTTCCTGTCCCTGTGAGGACAGCGGAACGAAGTGCTACAAAAAATGCCTGGACGGTGGCCCAGGCCTCAGCTGCCTGTCGTGCTGGGCTGGGAGGCCAGGCCCCCTCCCTCTCCTCTCGGAGGCGCTGCAGCAGCCAGCAGAGGGGTCGAGGAGCGCCTGCTCCCGCGCCAAGGTCCTTCTAGTCCATTCCAGCAGGAGGTGCCTGAGCAGCCCCTGAGGCCTGGGGAGGCAGAGGCTCGCTCGGGGGTGGCGAGGGTCATAGCCAGGCGCCGCTGTGTGAGTAGCTGTGCTCCTGGCCGGCACTGAAGCCCCGCAGCAGCTCGGCCTCACCCCCGAACACCACGCTCTCCACGTCCACCTCCAGCTCCTCTGCGCAGGGAGAGGTCCAGTCAGGAGACCTGGCCCACTGGCCTGCCCGCCCCCCGCTGCAGGGCACTCACCTTGGTCTGAGTCAGACCGCTCAGAGGAGAGGCCTGAGGAGTCCAGGCTATCAGCCCGCAGCCGCTCCCGTTCGCCAGCCCCCACCGGCGCCCGGAGCTGCTCCAGCTGCTGCCGCAGGCTCTGCTGCTTGCTGCGCAGCTGCTCCTTGAGCCTCTGGGCCCGCTGCTCCTGCTCCTCCAGCTTCTGCGGATTCCAGAGGAGCAAAGGGCTGGGGTCAGCCGCCTGGGGTCTGGGCCTCAACTAGCGTAACTCAGCAGCAGCCCATGGCTACTTGGTGACTGCCTGTCCCAGACAGGGGCGCTCTAAATCTGAGCTCCAAAGGGTTACCTCCGCATCCTCCAGGGAATCAGGCCCTTCTGCCCCATGTAAATGGCCCCTGAGTTCTGTCTAGCTGGGCAAGGGAGGGAGGGCAACAATCTCAAAAGACCTTCAGGGTTTAGTCAGGTGAGGCCTAGATAGGTGATGTGGAGTGATGAGTGCTGTTATCAAGCAACAGGGATGAGGTGTGGCAGGGGCTATGACATGATGGCAAGTGTGAACTCCAGCTGAAGGAGGCAGCCACCTCATGGAAAGAGGCCCCGTGTGGTCCAATCTCTCGGTGTCTTTAAGAAAAGCTGGAAAGTCAGATTTTTCATGTCAGATGTCCTCTTAAGTGCTGCCAAGTAGCTAAACTTTTAGAAAACTATAGACGAAACAATGGCTTCCAGTTTGTAACTCCTGGTCAAGACCCTCCTAGGAGCCCTAAGGTTTTTTCATCATTAATCTGTTCCCCCTCCCTCACCACCACCCCTACAGAGCTCTGTGGGCAGGAGCCTGCAGTCAGCAAGAAGGAAAGCATGGGAAGGGACATTGGGGTTTTAAGAATTCGGCTTTTGGTGGGGAACAGGGAAGAGATGAGACTACAAAAGCAGGCAGTGGCAGCAGATGAGTGGTGAAGGGCCTTGAGTTCACAGGAAGTAAGGTCTGAGACTTTCCTGTCAGGAGCCTTGGAAGGTCGTCAGCAGAAGAGGCACCTGGACAGATCTATGTGCAGCAAAGAAACCCTAAGGCGAGGCGGAAGCGGAACAGGAAGCAGGGAGCACAGGGCGAGGTGATGGGGCTTAAGGAAAGAGCAATCCACAGGTCCTGCCCACCTGCCAGTCAGCACTTAAGGGGCACCCCATCCCTCCAAGACCCAGGCCAGGCGAGCCCAAGTGAGAAACAGGCCTGCTTATTCAGCAAGGGTGTTCCTCAGGCACCATGAGGGGAGTGCAGGCAGACAGTCCCACTCTGATTTATTTACTACATGGCATATCTGTCTGCCATGGCCTGGGTACCTAGAAAGGCCTAGCAGAGCAGGTGCTCAGTACTTGAAGGAAAGAATGCAAGTCAGGGGACCTGAATCTGCCTCTGCTGAGCCCGGCTGTACCTCCATTTCTTCCTCCGAATTACCCTGAGGTACTATTTCAAAGGCCACTCCTAATCCCCTCTCTGGGGCTGCCTGGGGCTTTGAGTCTGCACTCACTACTCATGTCCACCAGGGGGCAGCAGCGAGAGCCCTGGGAAAATGTTGACTGTCATCCTCTGTCCTTACGTCTTCCTGGCCTCTGGAGCTACCTCCCAAAGTGGCTTCAGGACAGACTGCCCAGAACAGGAGGCCTTAAGGATGGGGAGAGGAAGAGCGTGGACAAGACCTCTTACAGTCTAAGAGACCCTTACACATGACCCATCACATTATCTTCAACAGTCATGCCTCCCCATACAGAGGAGGAAAGGAAGTCCAGAGAGGTTAAGTGCCTGGCCCAGAGCCTCACAGTTGAAACAGAGGTAGTAATACCTGTACAACAGTGAACAACTTAACATCATTTGCCCAATAAATCCTGAGTTACTTTTTGCTTTTCTTCCCATTTAACAAATGTGGAAGCTAAAAGCACAACGGGCCTCTCTCCCCAGTGCCACCCAAGCCCTTCCCTGCTAAGCCTCTCCACACGCCCTGGTAACCTGGCTCCCGGGGCAGAGGTAGCCCCTCACCTGGATGTGCATCCTGGCCCGGCGCAGAAGGCTCAGTGTGGTGTATCGGGCACAGTCAGCCCCCAGGGGCATCTGCTGCTTCAGCTGCTCCAGGCACCGCTTCAGCTGGGCCCTCCTGCAGGGAAAGGGGTCTGGAGGGCAGTGCCAGCCCAGCCTTGATAGCTAGAGGGCTGACAGGGGTGGGAAGGCCAGAGAGAGACAGTCCCTGAGGCCCAATGCTGTCAGGGCATGGCTGGGACTCACCTGCGCTTCTCCAGCTCGTTGTGCACAGACCTGCCAATGCCAGAGAGGATGGGGTGAGGGGCCATCAGTTGCTGCCCACACCCTCAGTCCCAGGCTCCCAGAGGCTCAAAATCCACTGCAGATCTCTGCCCCAGACTAGCTCAGTATGGCAACCTTGCGCTGGCCAGGTGGAGGCAGAGACTCATGGGGAGCAGGTGGGAGGTAGGGCTAGGGGGCAAATGCTGAAAGAGGCCTGCCTGCCCAGCTAGCTGTGGAGTGCAAACAGAGGTGACAGTTGAGCTGAGCCAGAAACACAGGTCACCCAAAGCAGGTGGTGGAGAAAGACACTCAAATTGGAGGGAACAGCTTGTGTAACGGGTGGAGATGAAGAGAGACAAGGGGCAAGCCTGTGGGGGAAAGGGAGTGATGTGATAGGTGGAGTATGGGAGTGTGAGTGGAAGCCTTGTTCACATCAGGGGCGCTCAAGAAATAGTCTGAGCAAATAGAGGGGTGTGTTTAGGGGAGGGGAGATGGCAGGAGAGGTTTGAATGTCTCCAGAGAAGGGTACCTGGCCCAGAAGGCGCAAGCAACAAGGAGGAAATGGGCTGAGGAGGGGCCCGAAGAGGGACAGCGCCATCCTCCCGCTCCCCATCACCGTCGCCCTCCTCACCGCCCACAGTCCAGCGCGCCAAGAGCTTGGGGGGGTCCCTTCCTCTTTCTGTGGACCGGGCCTGGACTTCGGTGCGGGAACAGGGACGCGTATCCGTGCTCAGCCTCTGCCAGAGAGAGCCCGCGTCTGCGTCAGGCTGGAGCTGGTCCCAGCGGGCGCCCCTGGCATGGCACGGTCATGGACAGGCTTTTGGAGCCAGGGCCATGTCCCCAACAGCCCCCCCCCCCCCAGCCCGAGGACTCCTCCATTTTAAGACGGGGTGACCCGGGGCTACTGTATTGAAGCCATGCATGCATCCTTCAAGTTGGGAGCCAAGTCTACCCCAGGCCCGTGTCAGCAAGGTCGCAGCCTGGGGTCCAGCCACGGGTCCTGCCTCACCTCTCTCGCGGCGTTCCAGGAACTCGGCCGCCTGCAGCAGGACCTGGATGTTGCTGGCCACAGATTCCATGTCGGCGACAGCTGGCGGCGGGCGGGCCGGAGTGCGGCTGGAGGAGCGGCGGCACCACTTTTGTTACAATGTAACTGACACGGCGCAACAAACACAGGCGCCCGCCCCGCCCCCCGACGCCCCGCCCGCGGGACGCCCCGCTCTGGGCCCGCCCCCCCAGGACCCGCCCCCGCGGACACCGGCGGCATCGATCAGGGCGCCAGCTCCAGGCTCTGCCCCTGGGCAAGCCCTCGGACTGGGAGGTGAGTCTCCTGCCCGCTTTGCCCAGCGACCCCGCACTAGCTATTCGGCGTCTCAGGGCCTCAGTTCCCCGCACGTGCGGGCGGCCGGGGCCGGGCAGAGCGAGCGCTGCTGCTCCAGGAGCCCGGAGCCTCCGGAGGCCCCGGGCCAGCGGCTGCACGTGGGCGCCGCGGAGACACGGCGAGGGCCCTCGCCCATTGGCCGGGCGGCTCGGGCGGCTCGCTGTCGTCACCTTCGGGGCGGGGCCTGGGAGTCTCCGAGGCCCCATTGGCTGCGCGCAGCCCCGCCCTCGCTCGCGGCTGGTCCACACCTTCGGGCGGGAAAAGGAGCAGGTTTCAAATTTGAAAACCCGGGCGGCGGGGCGGGGCTGAGCGGGGAGCGGGGCCGCAGTGCGCAGGCGCCAGGACGGGAGCCGGGACCCTGCTCTGCGCTCCGCTCCGGGCTCGGTGCCTGGGCCTGCCGGCCTCCTGCCTCCGTGGGCCCCGCTGGGCTTCAGATTGCTGTCGTGACGAATGGGAGTAGCCTCCCAGCTTGTCCCGCTCACCGACAGGGAAGCTGCTGCCGCTACAAAACGTCAGTAGGACCCCAGCTTCCAGGCGGACAGCCTCGCCGGAGAGCCCTGCGTTCTGGAGCCAACGGGGTTGGGTGTCTCCTGTCACCGCTGCCTCTCAGCTCTGTCACCTCCCTCCTGTAAGCTCGGGGACAGCGTTGTTGCAGGAACAGAGCCCGCGCCTTTGCCGTGCCCAGTAGGTAGGAGCTGCTTATTTCCACCACAGGCCACCAGATGGCGCCCTCTTCCTCCTCCGGAGCCCCTGCGGGCACAGTGACTGCTATGGGCGGAGGCAGGAAGATGAAAGCAGGTGTTTTAGGTGTGGCATTTCTGCCAGTGGGGGGCGGAGTCTGAGAACCGGCAATAGAGAAGGGGAATCAGATTCTTTATAAAGACGTGGTGCTGGGTAAACACATAGCACCTGGAAGTCAATCCTCAGTTTCTTGGAGTTTCTCTGAGTCACTCCAGAGAAATCACTTGACCGGCTCAGCCAGGAGCTAAGCCATTCGCCCATCCCTTCACTCACCAAAAATCTGCTGAGACTTACTGGACCCCAGGAACTGTGCTGGGGGCCAGAGAACAGGATCATTGGCCAAACCATACAGGGCTCCTGCCTTTGCAGAGCTCACAGGCGAGGGGGAGAGAGATGGACGTAGCAGACACATACGAGTTACAGTTTTGACAGGTCCTCACAGGGAAAGACACAGTGAGAGGGCATGTCTGAAGGAGCATTGGACCTAAACAGGTAGGTCAGAGAAGGCTTTTCTAGGGAAATGGAGGAATAAGTGTTATCTATGTATAGGAAGAAAGTAGGAGAATTCCAGACAAAGGAACAGCAGGTGCAAAGGCCCTGAGGCTGAAAGCAATGCATGCTGACTGAGGCAGCCACTGTGGCTGGCTAGCTTAGAGAGCGGCAAAGAACAGGTGCAGGCCGACACTGAAAAGGTGGGCAGGGCTCAGAACAGGCTGATGTTCCCCAGATCCCCACCTGCACTTAGTTATGTCTGGGGGGGGGGAAAGGAGTCACAAAGTTTGTAAATGAATTTCTAATTTTTTTTCATCAAGGTCTGTACCCACATAGCACAGGCACAAACCCACCAGTCAAATATCTGGAACACAGAAGGCCTGGTGCAGAGGCAGGAGGAAGGGAGGGATTCTGAAGGAGTGAGTCCCTAGCAGAGGAGGGGAGAGGCACACTCCCACAGCTGAAGACGCTCCCACAGGAGGTTGTGGCAGGGGCTGCCGGGGCTGGAGTGACCGCTCTGAGGAGTCTGGGCCTCCTCCTAGGAGCCATGGGTAGAGTTCAAACTAGGGAGCAATATGGAGGCTAAGTACAGCCTGGCCTCCTGCCTCCCATGACTATAGCTCAGGGCCACACGCCAGGGAGACAGGAAGGAATACCTCCCAGGGAGCAGGACTGGCGGGGAAGATGGAGCCCCCGCCCCAAGCCCGTAGATGCCCTGGGCCCCTCTGAAGAAATGCTAGTGCTGGTCCCTTCTGGGTTCGGGACTGAGGACTTCCGGTCCTCCTCCTCCCTTAGCACTGGCTTAGCATCTCTGTCCCAGGCCCACAGGTCCGACAGCTCCAGCCTGGATGCTGCAGCCCTGCAGCCGCCCTGCCGGCTCCCCATCCCGTGGCCTTGCCGACCCACGGTAGCTGTGGCTATGCTGCGGGCACCTCAGTACAGGTTCTGTTAGAACTAGTGTCCTCTGGGCGCTAAGGGCAAAGCCTACATCTGTGCCCTGAGGGGAAGGAGAAGGGGGCCCACACCCTGCTGCTCTGCCCTGGTCAGGACCCCCTGAAGAGGGCAGCTTACAGGAGCCTCAGCTCCAGGCTCACCGTCCTCTCCCACCCATTGGACAGGATGTCCCCCCAAAAGCCTTTCACCACCTCCCCGTGGGTGAGAGTAATGGTGGGGGGGGAGGGCAGAAATGGGCAATATTGGATCTGGAGCCTGGCTCAAACCCTGGGCCCCTACCCAGCCCCTTCCCTGGGCTCCCTGCCCCTGTTTCTCCCACTTCACTCCGTCCTCCTCCCTTCCCAGAGAATGGCGTTCCTTGGTGATGGAGCTAGCCAGGCCATGCCCTTAGCGAAAGCCCCATGGCCTGGCGCTCGCTGTGCCCCTCCTCCTGCTATGTCAGCCAAGACACCGCCCATCTGTCTGCTTCCACCAGCTTAGCTTAGATGTCACTTCCTCCGGGAAGTGTCCAGGCTTCTCTCAACAAGACACCTTTTGGAAAACAGCAGTGTTCCTCTGTCCCTCAGGGTCAGCCTCTTCCGCCTGACTGACCAAAGTGACCGAGGACACCAGTGCTGAGAAAGGAGGGGGCCTGGCTGGCCTGGGTCTCCATGCCCACAGGAGGCTGTTGGTGTAGCATTCAGCAGACCCCAACTTGGTGGCCACTACTGGAAGGCCATCCCAGGCTGTCTGGGGCAGCGCAGCACAATGCTTAACAGAGTCTGGGGGCCAGGAAGTCCCTCACTTGAGATTACAGGTGACTAGACCATGGGGCCTGGCTAGTCCAAGTCTCACAAGTGGCTGCCAGTCCCAGTTACTTTGGGCGTGGAGGTGGAGGCACCAGGAAGAGGTCTCTGTAAGAGCTGTCATATGTCCCTTATTGATTCCTTATGTAGGTAGTGTCTCTCCTCTCTCTCTCTGTCTTCTTACTAAATCTTACTAAGTGTTCTTTTAATATTTTCAAAGAACCAGTTTGGATTTAATTTGCTCCTTTGTTCCTAGCTGCTGCTGCTGCTGCTGCTTCTTTTAAAGGGGAGGTTTTCTTTTCTTTTTAAAAAAAAAATATATTTTATTGATTTTTTTTACAGAGAGGAAGAGAAAGGGATAGAGAGTTAGAAACATCGATGAGAGAGAATCATTGACCAGCTGCCTCCTGCACATTCCCCACTGGGGATGTGCCTGCAACCGACATACATGCCCTTGACCAGAATCGAACCCGGGACCCTTCAGTCCTCAGGCCGACGCTCTATCCACTGAGCCAAACTGGTTTCGGCTGTTCCTGGCTTCTTAAAGTGGAAGGGTAGATAACCTATTTTATTCCTTCTTTCTTCACATTGCTTTAACTGCATCCTACAAACTTTCATGTATTGTAGTTTTGTTAATTTTTCTTTTTTAATTCTCACCTGAGGATATTTTTCCATTGAAATTTAGGGAGAGTGGAAGAGAGAGGGAAAGACAGAGAGAAATATTGATGTAAGAGAGACACATTGATTGTTTCCCTCCTGCATGAGCCCTTGACCAGAATTGAACCTGGAACCCTTTGGTCCACAGGCTGACGCTCTATCCACTGAGTCAAACCAGCTAGGGCTTAATACATTCTTTTGATTAGTGTTCTTGTGGTATGTTTTTCCCCATCTTTCTGCTTTTAACCTACTAGCGTCCTAATAGGCATGTTTTCTTTTCTTACAAACAGCTTATTTTTTTTTCTCCTCCGTGATCTGATAATCTCTGTCTTTGGATTGTGTTTAATAAAATTATTTTGACATGGTTGAGTTTAAGGTCTGTCAGCTTTTTATTTTGCTTTTGTGCCAGCTGTCCTTTTCCTTTTTTCCCTTCTTTTCTGACTTCTTTTGGGTTTTTATTAGCATTCCATTCTATAGCCACAACTGGCTTCTTATCTGCACCTCTTTTAAATGGTTATTTATTTATTTATTTTTAAACAAGTGACATTTTATTTATTTAATATATTTTATTGATTTTTTACAGAGAGGAAGAGAGAGGGATAAAGTTAGAAACATCGATAAGAGAGAATCATCAATCAGCTGCCTCTTGCACACCCCCTACTGGGGATCTGCCCGCAACCAAGGCACATGCTCTTGACCGGAATCAAACCTGGGACCTTTCAGTCTGCAGACTGACGCTCTATCCACTGAGTCAAACCGGTTTTGGCGGTTACTTTATTTTTTATTTTTTAAAAAATATTTTTGTATTGATTTCTGAGAAGAAGGGAGAGGGGAAGAGAGAGAAAAGAGAAACATCAATGCTGAGAGAGAATCATTGAATGCATGTCCACACCGGGGAGCAAGCCCAGAACCTGGGCATGTGCCCTGACTGGGAATCAGACCATAACCTCCTAGTTCATAGGTCATGCTCAACCACTAAGCCACACAGGCCAGGCTGCCTTCTAGTTTTTGTGGCTTTTTGTTTTGTTTTAATATTTTTTTTATTGCTTTCAGAGAGGAAGAGAGAGAGAGAGAGATAGAGAGAGAGAGAGAGAGAGAAACAATAATGATGTGAGAGAATCATTGATTGGCTGCCTCCTGCACGCCTCCCACTGGGGACCGAGTCCACAATCCTGAGCATATGCCCTTAACCGGAATTGAACCTGGGACCCTCTAGTCCACAGGCCGACACTCTAGCCACTGAGCCAAACCAGTTAGGGCTTGTTTTTGTTTTTTAATCTTTACTGTTGAAAGTATTACATATGTTCCCTTTTTTCCCCCATTGACTCCCTCCAGCCCACCCCCACCCTGCACCCCAGGCCTTCAGCACCCTATTGTCTGTGTCTATGGGTTACGCATACATGCATACAAGGTCTTTGGTTGATTATCTCCCACTCACCCATCTCTCCCCCCACCCACCCACCCCCAACCCCTCCCGTCTTCCCTCTAAGATTCCACACACTGTTCCATGCTTCCATGTCTCAGGATCTACTTAGTTCATCAGTTTATTTTGTTATAGACTCCACATATGAGATCATGTGAACTTGGCTTTTTTCTGGCTGACTTATTTCACTTAGATTGATATTTTCCAGGTCCCTCCATGCTGTATCAAAAGGTAAGAGATTCTTCTTTTTACTGATGCATAGTATTCTCTGGTATAAATGTGCTACAGCTTTTCCATCCACTTGTTTATTAATGGGCACTTGGGCTGTTTCCAGATCTTAGCTATTATAAATTGTGCTGCTATGAACATAAGGGTGCATACATCATTTCTGATTGGTGTTTCCGGTTTCTTAGGATGTATTTCTAGAAGTGGGATCACTGGGTCAAATGGCATTCCATATTTAATATTTTTTTGAGGAAACCATAGTTTCCCATAATGGTTGCACCAGTCTGCATTCCCACCAGCAGTACTAGGGTTCCTTTTTCCCTACATCCTCACCAGAACTTGTCGTTTGTTGATGTATTGATGGTAGCCATTCTACGGGTGTGAAATAATGCCTCATTGTCATTTTAATTTGCATCTCTGATGATCAGTGACTGAGCATTTTTTCATGTGTCTTGGCCATCTGTATGTCTTCTTTGGAGAAGTGTCTGTTTAGGTCCTTTGCCTATTATTTAATTGGATTGTCTTTCTTTTAAATTGTATGAGTTCCTTATATATTTTTGGATATTATCCTTTATCAGATGCATCATTGCCAAATATATTCTCTCATACAGCAGGCTCCTTTCTCATTTTGTTGGTTTCTTTGCTATGCAGAAGATTGCTCTGTGTATGGTATTTGTGGTCTAGTTTCAGTTTTTTTGCATGTACCTATCCAATTATCCCAACACCATTTACTGAAGAAACTGTCTTGACTTCATTGTATACTCTTACCTCCTTTGTCAAATATTGAGTATAATGGCTTGGGTAGATTTCTGGGTTCTCTGTTCTATTCCACTTAACTATATGCCTGTTCTTGTGCCAGTATCAGGGGGTTTTGATTAGGGCGGCTTTGTAGTATAGCTGTGATCCCTCCAACTTTGTTCTTCTTTCTCAAGATTGCTGTATTCAGATTCTTTTTTGGTTCCATATAAATTTTTGGAGTATTTGTTCTAGATCTATATAATATATTGTTGATATTTTAATAGGGATTGCATTGAATCTATAGATTGCTTTGGATAGTATGAACATTTTAATGAAGTTAATTATACCAATCCATGAACACAGCATGTTCTTCCACTTGTTTATATCTTCTTTTTTCCAACATTCTGTAGTTTTCTGAGTACAGGTCTTTAACCTCTTATTTAAGTGTATTCTTAAGTGTCTTAATTTTTTTCTTACAGTGGCAAATGGGATTTTCTTTAGTGTCTGTTTTCTGAAAATTCATGATTGGTGTATAAAAATGCCATCGATTTTTGGGTGTTAATTTTGCATCCTGCTACACTGCCAAATTCATCTATTAACCTAGTTTTTTGGTGGAGTCTTTAGTGTTTTCTATGTACAATATCTTGTCATCTACAAATGAATATTACATTCTCCTTCCCAGCTTGGATGCCTTTTTCCTTCTTGTCTGATAGCTGTGGCTAGGACTTCCAGTACTATGTGGAATAAGTTCTTACTCTTTATCTATTACTGTTACCTATTTTTTACAATGAGAATCTAATTGACACTGTTAATTACAAGAAGCCTGCTTGCAGCTGTTTTGGGATTGCTCTTGCTTTTAAAATGGAGACTCAAATGTTATTGAACCGAGTGCAGACAGTGAGAGTGGCTCTGGACACACGGCTCCAAGGGGGGACCGGATGATCGGGGGGGACTGGGCAGCAGAGGTAGCCCGAGCCTGGATGGAGAGAACCAGGAGAGCGGCCAGGGGGCGGCACGTCTCACTTTCTTCCCAAGACACCTCAAAGGGAACACCACTGCCGGCCCCGGCCTGTCCCCCTGTGCCCAATCTCTTCTGTCACCCTGAGCCTCCTAGAGTTCCCTTAGGCTGAGGTCTCACCTTCTGCTCATTACCTCAAATTCTCCCGCTAGACTTTCCCCAAGAGCCAGAGCAAATGAGGTGGCACGGGAACACACAGCGCCTGTCCCCGACTCCGTGCAGGTGACACTGGACAAGCTTTGTGCCTCCCTGGGACAGGCAGCACAGACCTGCCCGGGGGGGTGAGGCTGAGAGCAGGTAAGCCTGGCTATCTGGAAGGTATTTGAAGAAAACAAAAAGCCCTTCAGGATAGTCACACAGGGTGGTTATTTCACTTTATTCAGCACATGTCGATCTCACTCTGGGCCCACAAACTGCTCCCCTAGGCCTTACTTGAGGGTCTGCCCTGGGAAGCTCAGAGGTGAACACAAAGGCCCGGGCTCCATGCTTGGCCTTTTCTGCCACACGCAGCACACAACTCACTGCTCGTGTCCCGGGCGCCACCCGTGTGGCTGGGAGGGGTCTCCAATGCTCCAGGCCACCCACGGGGGCCTCAGCCCAGCTCCAGGCACAGGCCCTGCTCCTGAGATGCTGGCAGTGGGCCAGGCCTCTGTCCACGGCTGGAGGGACACCAAACCCTTACTCCCAGCCCTGCAGCCTGTCCCTGCTGGGCAAGAAGCAAAATGTATGAAAATACTTTAATTATTTCTTTTAAACTGTTAAGAAATAAGGTCATCTTGTTTTTCTCTTACAATCCCAGTAAAAAAAAAGTTCACATTAGTGCAGGGCCAGTGCCAGCCCTCCCAGCCGCGCTGGCCGCTCAGTAGAAACGCTTGTTGCGCTCCTGCCGCTTCTGAAACACCACGGCGCCCACGACGGCACACACGATGATGCCCAGGAGCGCGCACAGCAGCAGCAGGAACACCCGCCACCCCGTCAGGGGCCCGCTGCGGAAGTTCCCTGTCGGGTCGTCCACGTTGTCTGGGAAGAGAGGGGGAGGTGAGTGAGTGTTAAAGCGGCGGCAATGGCCCTGGTGAGTCCCATCCCCATCAGGTGGCAGCTGCGGCTGCACACAGCTGTAGTGAGGGGCAACCCTGAGAACCCCACAGATCAAGGCCTGGCTGCCTCTCAGCTGATGGACATTGGATCCTGGGCTTCCCAGGAGCCCAGTCTGCCCAGGGAGGCCTGGGATCCGCTTTCACAAGCCCACCCCACCCCAGTGCAGTGGTCTGAGGTCCCCTTCTGCAGAAACACAACCCTGGCCAAACGCCGGCCTGCCTCACACCTGGATGGATGCATTTGGTGGCTCCCAGGGGGGCCCAGGCCTCTACCCTGTCCTTCTGCTCTGGCCACATCACTACCCTGCCTGCTAACCCTGTCAATGGTGAGTGCCAAGCCTGCAATTTCAACCTCTCAGGGATAGGGTTCTCCTCCAGACAGGCCTGGAATATCAGCCATGAGCCCACTGACACCCTCCCTTCCCAAAAGACCCGACCCGGCAAGCTGCCGTCCTGCCGCCAGCTGCCTTCACCCTGCACCCCTTTCCACCCTGCACCGTGACAACAACGGCTTCTGACTGAACCAGGAGCTCCCATGCAGAGGCACTTCCAGGAAGCAGCCCAGCCTGAGGGCCCCCAGGGCTCCCCAGCCCTCTCCGCCCCCCTCTCCGCTTCAGTCACTAGCCTGAGCCCTGGGGCAGCGCCAGGACACAGCCAGGCACTGAGCGGAAGCTTTGGAATCGCCCACTGAAGGAACAAATGGATGGGCACCTGTGAAAAGCTAATCCCCATCTGGCAAACCACATTGGGTTGCTGGGTAATTCAGAGCACATGAGTTCTCTGAGTCCTTGGCAGCCAGAACTCTTCGATCAAAATGGCAAGACAGTAGCTTATAACAAGGATTGTGACTCTCAAAATATTTAAAAGTAACCTGAATCTTAAAAAGTGACATGTCTTCCCTAGCCAGTTTGGCTCAGTGGATAGAGCATTGGCCTGTGGACTGAAGGGTCCTGGGTTCAATTCCAGTCAAGGGCACATGCCCGGGTTGTGGGCTCAATCCCCAGTGGGGGGCATGCAGGAGGCAGCCAACCAATGATTCTCTTTCATCATTGATGTTTTTCTCTCTCTGAAATCAATAAAAATACATTTTCCAGTGAGATAGCACATAAAATGCCACGACTCCGGCTCACACGCTGCATGACGACTCTGGGCGGGGCTGAGGCCGTCGGTGCTTTCCAGCCATTCACGGAGGCCGGGCATGTGCACTGTCAGTGCCCTGCCAGACACCACACAGCAGACTGGCCCTGTGGGCTTCACCCGCCATTACCCAGCACACTCAGGCTCACACACTGCTCGTTAACATGGCTGCTGATCCAAAAGCCCCAGCCACACCCACAGCCAGACCCAGCGAAGGCAGAGGGACCACAGACATACCTTTAGGCGACTTGAAGAAATGGACGCTGGGCTCGATCTTGGTCCAGTCGATGTTCTCCTCCTCAGGGCTGTGCTCCACCATCAGCTGGAACAGCTTCATGGAGATGATGTCGTGATTGTCTGCAGGGCCACGCGGTAGCTTGTCAGAGGCCTGCCGCCATGGCTCCTGTGCCATGGCTCCTGCGTCTCCCAGCCACACCAGGTGGCCACATTCCTCAGGGAGAAGCCTGCTCCTGCCTGGCGGAGGGCTCAGCCCTGATACGTGGTCAGCAATTGCACCTGAGACTTGGGAATGGCCCAGTCCAGGGCCTGACGGTAACTGATCGCCCCACTTCTGAGGTTAGGAGGTTGAGGCTCAGAGCCAATGTAAGGGTCCCCTCTCAGTCTTGTTAACCTAAGGGAATCTAAGGAAAGGCCTGGAAAGGCAAGACCTAAAGAGCGAGGACCTGGTGGCCAGATGGGCAGAGCCAAGCAGCACCGTTATGTGCAGCCCCCGGAGGCCCAGGGACACACTGACTGAAGTCAGCCTGCAGTTCCCACCTGAGCTCTGCCCCTCCTGGGGGTAAACCTCGGGGGATTCCTTCAACCCTCATGTTCCCAATGGTCTCCACTGTGTGAAAAGGGAGACCGCTAGCTACCTAAGCGTGTATTACGTGACTTTATAGGAAGTGTGCAGGTCTTTGGGGCGTATGTGTACAATTTTAAACAAGGGAATCAGGGAAGGCTCCAATGAGAAAGTGACATCTGACTTGAAGATGAGAGTGAGATACAAGCACAAAGGCCGAGGCAGGAGGGCACTAATGTGAAGAGCTGGAAGCCATGTAAATAGGGAGCTGGGAGCAAAGAATCAGAGGTGATGGCTGGGTGAATGGTGGCTTGACTGAGAGAGCAGAGCCAATGCAGGGCTCTGAGCGGAGAGCAGTGACAGCTCACGTGAACTTTAATGGGATCACTCTGGCTGCAGAGCTGGGAGTGACCTCTGGGGCTGGCATGGAAGGAGAGGCCCAATTGGGGGCTGCTGCAGTTGTCCGAGTGAGACAGGATGGTGGCCTGGGTCCTGTTTTTAGCCCGAGCAACTAGGACAGAGGTGTCATTTATGTCTTGGTCTTCAGCCCTAGCCAGTTTTGCTCAGTGGACAGAGCATCAGCCTGTGGACTGAAGGGTCCCGGATTTGATTCCGGTCTAGTACATATGCCTGGGTTGTGTGCTCGGTCCCCAATGCAGGAGGCATCCGATCAATGATTCTCTTTCATCATTGATGTTTCTATCTCCTTCTCCCTCTCCCTTCCTCTCTGAAATCAATAAAAAATATATATTTTTTAAAAATGTAGTCTTCTCATTGTGAGCATGTAAAGACAGACACCTACTGGGCATCCAGGTGGAGATGTTGAGGGTTGTTGATAACATTGTGCTGCAGATGGAAATCTGGGGTCTATAGCGTCCAGATAGAAATCCTAAAGAGAGGGGAAGATCACCGAGGACTGCTCACAGTGTGTGTGTGTGTGTGTGTGTGTGTGTGTGTGTGTGTGTGTACGAGTGCGCGAGCCAAAATGGACAGACAATGCAAAGAGGAGGAAGAAACCAGGCCAGTGTGGAACCAATGCAGGAAGGACAGGCTGTGTTACAAGCTCCCAACAGATCAGGGAAGGTCAAAACTAAGACTTAACACCCTGCGCAGCCCACTCACCAGACAGGTCCCCAGTGCCAGCAGAGGCTCCGAAGTAGTAGCCGGTGGGGAGGAGCACACCCGTGATGTCAATGCAATTCTTCCATTGGTTCTTGTCCTCCAAGTCAGTCATCACCTGCAGCCAATCAGCAGGTAAAGCATGCCCCTACCCCTGCAGAGCCAGCGCAGGCAGAGGACAACCCCACACCACCACCTGCTGCTCACCGTCAGACGGCCCCGGGAGTAGCGGACAGCCAGAAAGGTGTCATGATCACTGTTGCGGAAGTCAGCCGTGCAGCCTGCCAGCTCGGTCCAGCGGCCATCCTTACTATGGTCGTAGGACAGGGAGCCATTGTTCACCATCACCGAGATGTACGGGAACACACGCTGAGACCAAGACACCGGTTACTCTATGGCCAGCCCAGCATTTGTAAGTGGCAGGGGTACCCACCACCCCAAACCCTGGAGGCTCCTTTGTGCTGGGACCAGAGGGAAGTCCCTCAGCCCCATGCCTAGCCTTCCTGTCCTGTTCTATGGAGGGAGCAGGGGCCTACCTCAGTGGCCTCATCATTGGGATACGTGTCCAGGAAGATGGCTAAACCGTGGAAGTTGTCTTTGCTTCCAAACACAGGCCCTGGAATAAGAAAGAGATGCTCTAGTCATGGAGAAAACTGGGGTTGTACTCTGGGTAGCCTAAAGGACAAAGTATTGCCAGTGGAGGGGGGGGGGGGGTAAGAGATGGTAATCTGTTGGTCTTTCACCCAAGAAAGAGAAGAGACCCCTAAGAAAAAAACCTGGAGGTGGTCTAGGGATGTGACAGAGAGGACTCAGGTTTGAAGCCTGAACTGTGAGGGGACAGCACCTGGCCATGTGCTCTGCAGTGTCAACTGACAAGATGATACCCAGCCTGTGAAAAGCAAGTGGCTACCAGGAAGCCCTATCCTTAATCCAGGGGTCAGCAACTTGCTGTCCAGGTTGAGAGAAAATATGTTGGGCTTTGTGGGACACATACAGTCTTAGTCAGTCTTCCTTGCTTTTGCTTTTGAAACACAACCCTTTAAGACGGTAAAAAAACATTCTTAGCTGGTGTACAGCACCAGGCCATCATGGGTACAGCAGCACCCAGGTTTCCTCAAAGAGCGGCGGCACCTATCAGGAGAGTGCAGCGTGGAGAATCCTTGGCACAGATGCTCCCACACACGAGTGCAGCCCTACCTTGCACAAGACGGTCCCGAGTGTACCACAAGGCAATGCCGTCTCCATGGAGATTCTTCTTCCCAGCACCGTGGACTTTGAAGTGGACATGCATCTCCCAGTCTTTGAGGAAGCAAGGCTGGAGGGAGAGGAGAGAGGGTTGCTCTGAATTCTCTGGAGCTGCCACCTTCCTGCCAGCTGGAGGTGACCTGGAACAGACCCTGCCCCACTGAGACTAGGCTCTCCTTTGTCAAAAAGCACCACGGACCAACAGACCCTCTAGCTTTCTCAGCAGGAAGAAAGGAGAGGGAGGCTCAGACCCTCCCAGCCCAGCACATCTTCTCCACTTGGATTCACTTTCCTCAAAACCAGCCAAACCTGTCAACCCTGTTTTCTCTCCATCCCCACCGCTCTAGCCCTGGGATCTTGTGAAAGATCTGTTTGAGCGACACAGTTTACAAAACAGAAAACACATTCAGAGACAAAATAACTTGTGCAGGGAGTGTGCAGGTGCCAGTGGACAGTCTTGAATAATAACAAGGTCTGTCATCTATTCCGCCCATGGCTCTCAGGTCTTCAATACAAACTGCCTCAGGTCTTTTCCAGCCTCCCACGCCCACCATCTTCCCTTGTAATCCACCTTCCAAACTGAGGGACTCAAACCCAGGTCTGGCTGACTCCAAACCTCAAGCTCTTGGCCGGCATACCTCCGGACCCCTGCAGCCCCAGTCTGACCCCAGTGTGGATCTGGAAGGGTCATGCCCTGGAGCCTCTGGGCTACCATGATCTGAGGGAAGGTAGATGCTCCCTGGCATTCAGGAATGCCAGGTGCAGAGCTGGGTTCTGCTGCAGCAGGAAAACAGCCCGGCCTTACACACCAGGGAGTTACTCATGAGGACTAGTATGACACGTACTTTGTCAAGAATCCACGAAAGGGAGGTCTGCAGATGATTGTGTGAGCAAGTGATTAACGGAGCCCCAGCAGACAGGCAAAAGGAGATAAGATATTGTTGACGCATCAGATTGGCAACTATTAAAAAGATCAATAATACCCCTGTGGGTGAGGATGGGAAGAAACACACTCCACCAGCAGGACTGTGAATGTTCCCTCCTGTCGTCTTGGGGCAATTTGGCTGCTGAGGTCTTTAGCAGGATGAGGCAGAGCCACGGCACTTACATTTAATGATATCAAAGACACCACTGCAAAACCGTATCAATGCTATGTTCCCATTTTTGAAACAGAAAGGAATTAGTATATGTGTAGAGAAAGAAAAAAATGAAAGGAATATGAACCAACAATAACAACAGGTGACTCTGGGAGGGGAACTACAGAGAATGTTTACTTTCTATGTTTGAATTTTGTATAATGAATGTATTACCTATGTAATCAGAAAAAAAAAAAAAAAAAAACTCAAATAAAAAATAAAGACCTTTATGCCCCATCATGGGCGAACTGTTGTGCATTCATGAAGTCATCAGACTCAGCATTCTGGCTCTCGGCATCAAAACCGCAGGAGACGTGCCCCTGCCTCGCCTCTGAGACACAGCTACCAAATGCCACGGGTAACGAGCAATCAGCCTCCCTGCTCTTTATAGCTCACCGGCTCTGAGCAAACCTGCACATTCCAGCGGAGCAAATGAAGGTGATGAGAACCAACTCTCAAGGACAGACGGACAAGAAATCCGAGTCCACAGCCTGCTGAGGGAGTGGCAGTTCTGATGAGCTAACCTTGCTTTGGTTTGGGACCACACAGACAGTAAGCCCAGACTAAGAGTGAACCAGAAAGGCCCTCCCAGGAACGATAACTCAGCTGAGTCATGTCAATCCCTGAGATTAGACTAAAGAGACTCATCTAATCCTCAGATTTAAAAAAAAAAAAAAATCTTACAAATACAGTATCTAGTACACAATAAAAAATACCAGACACATGAAAAGACAAGATGTGAACGAAAACCAGAAGGAGGAAGAAAGGGAAGGAGGAAGGTAGGAGGCTGACAGGAATTCCAGATATTGGCCTTTAAAATAACTAGTTTACTATGTTCAAGGAGATACAAGACAAGATTGAGAATTCGGCAGATGACGAACATTTTTAAAGTCACACTGTAAAAATCCCAGGCACAGCCCGCAGAGCTCAGTGGCTTGAGTGTCGACCTGTGAACCATAAGTCACATTTCGATTCCCAGGCACATCCCCAGGCTGTGGGCTCAATCCCCAGAACGGGGTCTGCAGGAAAAGTCTCGTCATTGATGTTTCTCTCTCCCTCTCCCTTCTCTAAAATCAATAAGAATATATTTTTTAAATTCCAGAACAAAAAATACAATGAATTAACAACGTAATGAATAGGTTTTACAATAGATTTAAAATAGATGAAGAGAGAATAAAAGCATGGCAGACACAAAACACTAGGTAAGAGGCAGAGGAAAGAGTGAGAAAATATAATTGGAGTTTCAGAATGATTAGCAAAAGAATAAAGAAAAATTTAAAGAGACATCTAAGCACTTATCAATAAAACTGACTCTGACACTGTGCCACAAATCTTGTCTTACAACCAAAGATTTTAAAAAACCCAACAAATCAAAAGCATTAAAAAACACACACACACACACACACACACACACACACACACACACAAAAAAAAAACAACAACAAAGAAAAGGAATGGATATCAAGTTGCAATATTTCCATTCCACTGAATACATTTAAGGGTACTGAACAGTTTTAACTTAAAATGGCATTATTTAAAGTATGCTGGAAGCCAGGTCCGGTTTAGCTCAGTGGATAGAGCGTCGGCTTGGGGACTGAAGGGCCCCGGGTTCGATTCCAGTCAGGGGCATGTGCCTTGGTTGCGGGCACGTCCCCAGTGGGGGGTGTGCAAGAGGCAGATCGATGACTCTCTCTCATTGATGTTTCTGACTCTCTATCTCTCTCCTTTCCTCTCTGTACAAAAATCAATAAAATATATAAAAAAAAATAAAAAATAAAAAATAAAGTATGCTGGAAACTAGATCCTTTGCATATATTTAAACCTGTGTCAACTTTTAAAATATATATATTTTTTATTGATTTCAGAAAGGAAGAGGGACAGAGAGAGAGATAGAAACATTAATGATGAGAATCATTGATCAGCTGCCTCCTGCACACTGCTTACTGGGGATCCAGAATGTAACCCGGGCTTGTGCTCTGACCAGGAATTGAACCGTGACCTCTTGGTTCACAAGTGGATGCTCAACCACTGAGCCACACCAGCCAGGTCCTATATCAACTTCTTAAAAGTGAAGGGGTCATACACTTTCAGACAGTACATCAGCAAAAATAACACCAAGACCATGCTGCAGCCTCCACACAAGACCCCCCTCAGGATGGGTCTGGCCAGTCCCTCAGGCTTCCCTGTATCTTGTGCTCCAGCCATGAGGCACTTGGAGTTCTAGTCACTACTGGGCCACTCCTTAATCCGGACCAGTTCACCCCCGCACCCTAACAGACACTGTGTCTTATCTCTGCTCAGAAGACAGCAGGTACTTAGTAGTGTTTGCTAATTTGCTGCTCCTCCCAAATGGAGTAAATGGGGACAAAAAACAGAAAAGTCTAAAAAACACCTCTCTAGCTCAGTAAAGGAATAGTTGGCTCTTGGTAAACACTGGGCAGAAAATTTTAAGAGTTCTAAGCAGTTTCTTTCAGTAACTATAGGAAACACTCCAATCCTTTGGGAATATCTGTAGCGCCAAACAGCAGGAGCTGAATGGGAAGGAAGACTGAAAATTCGATGAAGGCAAGTGCAAAATCCTGTCAGCCCAATGACATTGCCATACCACTGACCACGGCAACCTCCAACCTACCTACAATCATAATTAAGTTCCTTGTGACCGAACCCAATTTCCAACAATTCCAGCACTATTTGTACCTTTCTTACACACACACACACACACAAAACAACCTTAATGTTATACTGAACTCATTTCTAGAAAACTTAAGGCTACATTAACATTTTTAATTGACGAAATGTGACTCAGCGGAGTTACTGAAATACTCTTGAGTGGATGGCACTCAGCTGAGACTTCACAGATGAGAAGGAAGGAAGCAGGCAGGAGAGCCAGGAGGCAGTGACCCAGACAGAGGGAACAACAAGTGCAAAGGTCTTGAGGCAAGAAGCAACCTGAGAGGCTAGAACAAAATTAACAAAGCAGATAACTGGCAATGCCAGGTACCAGGAGCCAGGATGTGTACAAGCACAAATGCATGTTTATCCCTTCACAAGAGACCCAAGGCTCCAAGGATCAGACTGAGAGCTGAGGAAGGTAACCCCACATGTTCCTAGCAGTTAGGGAGAGGACACGATGAGGGAACGGCCAGATGAGGCAACATGAAGACAGTGTGGACTCCCAGAACTAAATGGGGACGTCAACCAGGGAGAAAACAAGGACAATGACCAACACCTCGGGCAGAGGAAGGGTTGGGATCAGACAGGCTGAGGCAAGAGCAGATTCTACCCTGAGCTGTGATCCAGCCCAAAAGGTGGGACGAATGGAAGGAACGGGATCTTTTTTGGGCATTTTGCTGTGTGTTATGCACTGACTTTAACATGCCTTCTTGCATTTAATCCTCAAAATAGGAGGGTTCAATTTGGACAACATGACAGCTCCACTTAAACTGAGTCGTAGCTTCTTAGTAAAATGGAAATAACATCACATACTTCACAGGGGCTTTAAAGGAATTAAGTGAGAAGGGTGTAAAGTGTCAAGCACAGTTCGTGATAACACAGTAACTACACCAGCCATTACAGATTATTACTGTGACTAAAATGATGGAGGGGCGGACGAGGGAGGGGCAAGCCTTCAAACCAATCTGAGGTCTGCGCTGCAGCGGAGGCTGGGAGTCGTGGCTTACTCAGGGCCAAGCCTGGCCTCTGGGGACCCACTCACCTGGTGGTTCCAGATGGAGCCCTCTTTGCTGCGCTCATCGGGAGTCAGGCGCACGTACTGGCTGGTGAGGATAGTGCTGCCCTGGAAGTCCCAGAGGGGCATGGAGCTGGAACCGACACCTGTGGGCAGTGATGGGCACAGACAGGCGCGTAAAAGGCCATGCCAGGACTGGCCTCGCCAGAGGCAGGAAATCCACAGAACCGCCCTGCTCGGAAGAAAGGGCCACCCTTTTCCCAGCCCCGTGCAGCCTCGCCCTCACTCTGCACTCATTTCCCGCCTCAGGCCTCACCTTGGTAGGGCTTGATAAGCGAATGCTCCCGCTTGAGGTGTTCACTGTTGCCGTCAGTTATGTCCGCAGCCACCGGCCCCAGCAACAGAAGGAGAAGTAGATGTGTCATGGGGCCAGGGCCGGGGCCGGGAAGCCCAGGCCTCCCCGGGCACCGCCGGCCCCAGCCCCTGCGCCAAATCCAACCTTCCGTCGCCATTCTCCGTTTCTCTCCGCCACTTCCGCTAGGGGACTTCCGCCTTCCGGGTGTCTCATCGAATAGCTTCCGGCCGGAAACCTTCCAACGTCTGTCACCGGGAGTAAAATACAAAGCCTCGCAGCCTAGGGGACGGCGACTTTATTTGCTGAGCAGACCCCATTCAGATCAAGTGCAGTTCCACAGCCTTGGCCGCTCCGACGTACCGGTCGCCCAGCCTCGGCAGCGGGCTCTTACGAGCCACAACCAATCATGGAAGAGCACGTTAGGATTGTGAGCAAATGGAGAGCAGAGGAATGGTTTAGTCGGGGGCGGAACCAAGGGCGTCCTCGAAGCGCGGCATGCTGGAACTTGTAGTTCTGGTAGGCCATTCGCGTGGACTGGACGAACGAAGAATACAACGCTCTAGGCCTTTGGCCTCTGACCGCGTCTCTGGAGTAATATTTTCCATTTCGAGGGTTAAGGATCTCTAATTTGAAGGCAGATGCCTAAATTCCAACCTCCGTGCCACCTCGGACTACCTGGGTGACCTCGGATGAGCCTTAGCTGGCTTTGGCTTCACCCGCTGCAGCTTCACGCCTTTGAAGACTTAGAATTACCAGTGATTTGAAGTCATCCACTTCTCCCAGGTCCTCAGGCCTATTGGTTTTAAGCAGGACGGCAGACCGGTACCCTGCCCTGGATCTCAGTGATGGCTGGGACGCATACAGATCCAAGTGGTCATAGTGCTTGCCTGCTGCAGCAAGAAGTGTCCATGAGCCCCAGCTGCTTTGGCTCAGTGAATAGAGAGCTTCAGCCTGCGGACTAAAGTGTCCGGGTTTCATCCCATTAAAGGCACATGCCTGGGTTATAGGTTCCATCCCCAGCAGGGGGTGTGCAGGAGGCAGCCAATCAGTGATTCTCTTTCTCCCCTCTCTCTTCCTCTCTGAGATAAATAAAAATATATTTTTTTAAAAACAAAATAAATTATTTAAACTCCAATATATTTAAGTGAGGACTCTTAAATTCACATTATAAATCCAAATTTTCAGTTTCTTAGGAAAAATTGGGAGATCCAACCAAGATAAGCCCACGGGGTGCCCCCTACAAATGCCCTCCTCTTCTAAGTTAGTCTCCAGGCTGGTCACTAATTGACCCCACCTGTCTGGTCCCTCTAGGCATTTAAATTAAACACCCCTGTTATAGATCACAGCATGGGACCTGGGTTGGTTGCTCCTTTATTTTATTTTAAGAAGCTTCCCTTTTGAATGAATTAACTTATTCAGGATTAACTGATGAGACATCTTTTCCTGCTCATGTATTTTTAATGAGTTAGACATGTACAATAAGGGTCTCCTGCCACTCCTCTCCCATGGGTTATACCCTTCCAGAGGTTTACTTATGTCCATACAAACAAGGACATGTACATTCCACTAGACTTCCATGATGGGATGTTTGTTAGCTATGGTCACTACTGAATCCCCAGCAACTAGAACAGTGCTTAGCATATAGAAGGTGATCAGGGGAAAGGCCTCTTCAACAGGAAATGCAAAGTCAGGGAAGGTCCCCTGAAAGGATAAGGAATGCAAGCAGTTTGGAATGGCTGGAGAGTGGTGGGCAAGAGTTTGGTTGAGGTCGGAACTCTCAGCTAAGGAACATGACCTTTTTCCAGAAGGCAATGGGGTGGCTTTAAGCGTGGGAGTGGCCAATCTGGGTTTCTCTCACTACGGTGACGAGAGGAGACTGGAGCCAGGTAACAGGTAGGGAGATTGAATGGGAGGTCACAGGACCAGATGCGGGAGGGCAAGGCCTGGGCCAGGGAAGTCTCCACAGGAAAGGGGATCAGAAGTCCCACAGGAAGACTGGACATCAGTAACTGATCCCCTTTGGGAAGCCAGAGAGAGAAGTTGAGAATAGTATTCTATGGAATGGAGGTCCCACACATACCCATGGAGGGGAGAAAAGTAGATAAGGCTGCCTGGGGTCCCTGAGATGAATACGTGGTCAGAGTTAAAACTGGCATCCATGATGAAGAGGGAGGGAGAGGTGTCTTAGTAGTGGGAGAGGATGACCTTAGGAAGGGGTCCCAGGCAGAGCCTGTGATTGGGCCTTTAGGGGAAGGAAGATGAACTGTTGGCACTTGGGCTGATGGTGGCCCAGGCCCAAATGAAATCCACTCACAAAGAGGTTGTGAGGATCAAATGAGGTCAGGATGGGAGAAAACCCTGTAAATCGTAAAGCCCCCTCTAAAACCCAGGCCCAGACCCATCATGGCACAGCAGACAGACAGTGTGTGATGTCCACTCACATCACACACTCCACACCCCCTCAGAGGCACATTTACACTCCTTATTAAACCCGCCATGGGCAATGCTCCAGACTTCCCTAATAAAAGTCCCATATACACACCGGGTCTGAATGAATCTCTCTGTCTTGGTGGCCTGGAGCAAGGTGTGTGGAAGGAGATAAGAGTCAGGGGTGATTTAACTAGGGTAATGCTAGCTGCTGTAACAAATAGACCCTAATGTGTGTAATGGCTCACAATTTATTTCTGCTCATATGTAACAGTCCAAGACTGCTGTTTCTGGTTGATGAAGGGCTTGCCTTTGGGCACTAATGCAGAGATCCAGGTTTCTTCCTTCTTGTGTCTCCACAATCCCCTGGGGCCTCATCATCTTCCGTATCCAGCCCACTAAAGGGAAAAGAGAATGTGGAGAGCAAGTACTACTTCAAAGCCTTGGTCCAGAAACAGCACACATCATTCCACTCATATTCAATTGGTGGGAACTAGTCACGTGGCCACCATACCTTACAGCAAGGGAGCCTGGGAAGTTAAACGTTAGCCATGTTTCCAGGAAGTAAAGAACGTGAATTTGTGGTAAAGACTTAGTTTCTGCCACCGAAGGTTTCAGGCCACATGTCTAGAAAGGGGCAGGGTATAGAGGGTAGAATATGAAAAAGGGGGTGTCATTTTTTCCTTCAGAGAGAGGGGTCCAAACTGGAGTAATGGATGACTTAAAGGCTCTAAGTCCACACTTAAAGTAGTGGGTACATGCATGTTCAAGAAAGAGGCAAAGTGAGGATTCTGTCTACAGGGTCCGAGTTCATCTGGAACGGGGCCAGGCTGAGAGGGCAGAGTGGCACTCTTCAATTGACAGGGCTCTACCGAGGTGGGTGGGATCTGTATGTGAGCAAGGCGGATGCGACTGCACGTGTGTCTTTGAGCATAGGTGCACCTGATCCATGTCCCTGCCCAGATGGGCGAGCGTGGGCTTACACATGCCTATGTGCAGGTGTGCCGGTCACATGTACCTGTCCACAGGACTGTGCATACATATGACTGACCACCAGGTGGTCCTTATGAGGGAGAGCCTGTGTGTTTATAGACAGGCACACCTGAATGACCTGTATGTGCATGACCAACCATGCAAGGTGCCCATTTGTCTGCACAATCAGGCACCTGCCAGAGAAGTGTCTGGGCACAGCTGCCTGGAGGTGTGCTGAATGTGCACAAGCCCAGCACACCGCAGGTGTGAGATAAGTGTGTACTGGGTAAAGTCCACATGTGGATACACGGTGCACATGTACACAAGCCCATGGAAGCCCCTGCCAGGGTATCCAGAGTTGCCTCGGTGTGTGAGCCTGCACTTCTGTGTGCCCAGGCATGGCCGTGGAGCTCTCTGGGCACACAGAAGCTTCTGTGTATTTGGGGCCTGTGTGGGGCGCTGCAAGGCTGTGTTGGTGGCATGTGTGAGCGCACGTGTGTGTGTGTGTGTGTGTGTGTGTGTGTGTGTGTGTGTGTAGGAAGAGGCTGTTCACTCTCTTAGACCTTGCTTTTTTTTTCTGTGGTTCCGTTTCTATAGAGACACTTCCTGTGGCAGAGAAAAGAGGTAGTGAGCTGGTCTTTCAGGATGTGAGGGCCCACAGGAGCGGAGCTGGGCTCTCTCCGCCGCCTGCCTGCCGCCCTGCCAGCTCTGCCTGCGGCGCTGCCCACAGTCCCCATGGTGGGTCCCCCCCGAGGCGGGGACCCGTGAACAGAAGAGGCATGCCAGGGAAGCCCAAGCACCTGGGCGTCCCCAACGGACGCATGGTGAGTGCAGGCTCCGGGCCAGGCTCTTGGGGCGGGGAGGGCACACCCAGGGTGGAGCCCAGGAGCTCACGGGGCAGGGCTGGGCAAGAAGAGCTGCAGGCTGCCTGTGGGTGGAAAAAGTTGGGTACAGATAGCAGGTGGTTGGGCCTGGTGCCCTCACCCAGCACCGTCCAGACTGGCCTGCTGGGGACCTGGTCACAGGCTCTGGGTCCAGCCCCTACTGCTCCCTCTCCTGATGCTTTGGCATCATCTGGAGCTGCCTGCATCCTAGGGTAGCAGGGACACATGGCACCCCCGTGGCCCCTGCACACCCCATGGTGGCCCAAGCCCCCACACCTCATTTAGCCCCAGCCCTCCCCTCCACACCCCAAAGGTCAAGTAAGGGGCAGCCGGCACTGGGCCACTGCCTGCAGCTGGACCCATTCCAGAGGCTTCCTGCCGGCACTGGCAGTCCTTGGGCAGCCTGGGATGGGTGCAGCAGTCTGTTCTATTCCGGGGCTCCGGGAAGGGGAGAGGTAGCCGGGCTGTAGGATGCCCTGGCTGTTGCTGCTGCCCCACCCCCTAAACCCTCTCCCTGGCTACGTGGCCTCTGGGTCAGAGCCGCCCTTAAAGGTCCAGATTCTTTATTCCTGCAGCCGATGGGGCAGCCTGTGCTGGGCCTCCCTTCTCTCCTAGATCACCAGCCCACTTGGCAGATCCCTCGTCCCTCCTAACAACTCCAGAAAGGCCAGCCTGTGGCCTCGCCCCTTCCCAGGCCTCGTATTACGGAACAAAGCCATTGGGTCTGGAAACCTGGGTTCCATTCTGTCATACCAGGGGGTCCCCACTGACCCTCTGTTTCTTCATCTGTAACATGAGAATAGAGCAGATATCAAAGGCTTATTGAGATGATTAATAAGGTGACTATGAGGCCCGGACCCATTACGAGGGCTCCATAAACGTCAGCCCAACCCCACCCCTTCGTTACCAGCCCCTCCTCAAGGATCTCCCCCCCCATCAGGAAACTGAGCTGCCCCCAAGCACACTGCTGCCTCCTGATTCTCAAGATCTGCTTCCATCGCTCCTTCTTCCAGCATCTGTTTATCGCCCAGCCCCGGGCTAGCTGTGCAGCAGGTCCCTCCACGTTAGCCCCGTCGTCCGCCTCACTGTTTCCACCCTTGAGCTTAATGGAAGTTCAAGAACCCCTGGGCCTCCCACTCCTGCCCTGGAGGCACGACACTTGGGTGTCCAGGCCAAGGGGGGACCATGCCCACTCCCATGCCCACCCCAGACAGCGGCTGCGGAGCCCGGAGACAGACTTTACCTCTATCCTTCCCTCATCAGCGACGTCTGCTCTGCCCAAAGTCATCGAGAGCGAGGAGGGCACCCACGCTGAGCGCCCGGCCTCAGCAAGCCACAGGCTTCCCTCTCAGCCGCTGGCACACGGGCTTATCTCTGCCCTTCCTGAGCCTGTTCTGAGTGTTACCTTGGGAGTCCCGAGGGCCACACACTGCCCACTTGCGGGTCATCGAGAGCTTTCTGAGGCCACGTTCAGCTAAAACAGGGAGGGGCAGACACGCAGCGGCGTCTGCAGCAGGGATGAGCATAGAGAGGCATCTGTGAGCTGAGTGTCTGGCTCCTTCCATGCCTTACCTCCAGACAGAGGCCCGGAGGAGTAAATGACCTGCTGAGGGCAGCAGGCGGACAGAAGGGCCTGCATTTGAACCCGGCTGGTCTGACTCAATGCCAGGGCTCCTTCGCCTCCCCGAACTGCTTGGCTCTGTCCTCCCCCTCCTTCCCCAGCTGCCACCACACCCGCCATCACTCCCTGCAGAGACAATTTCACCCGTCAGCCTTGTCTGCCTGCCACTCAGCACGTCAGGCAACTGCAGGGAAACCTGTCACTTAGAGATGACTCTCAGCCCTCTTCCCAGAGAGGTCTTCACACGGCTCCCACCGCCATTCTGTCTGTTCTCCCCTTCATTCAACCCCTCCTCTGGGCCTGCTCCCTGCCACCCCTGCCCCGGGCACTCAGGACCCAGGCCCATCATCCTGTCCCCTGCCCCCAAGGAGCTCCCAGTCTGGCAAGACACAAAAGACATGAGCACAGACACCAGAATAAAACTCAGGTTTGGGGAAGAGCACTGGTCAGGGATAGAGAAGGTGAGAGGGGGGCCTGGGGCGGGAGAGCTGACCTCTCCCCTCCCGTGGTGTGCTGTGGCATGGAAGGCATCCTAAAGGGATGTGTCCGCTGGCTGAGGGCATGGCCTGAGGAAGGCCCAGATGTGGGAAACAATGGGGAGGGGTGGTTATTGTGTCTGTCAGTCTCAGAGGCCTGGTTAACCGTCCCCACCCTACAAGGAGACCTGCGAGGCACAGCCCACGCTCCCTTTGGACCATCCATCTCAGGGCCAGGCCCTGAGTGACAGGTGGCCTTACCGAGGGGCCAAGCCTGGGGCCAGCTCCACAGGGCTGCCTCAGACTGGAGGGGCCAGGCCCCTATTCTCTGTGGGTATCTCTGGACCTCTGTTTCCCCAAGTCAGAATGACATGAGATGATGGTACAGAGTGCCCAGCACAGAGGACACTCAGTAAACTGACCCTCCCTTTGAGGTCTGACCTCTCCAGGGGTCAGGGTTCATGAGGAGCCACTAGGCTCTATACCCCCACTTGACCTTGCCTACCTGTGGCCCAAGGGCTGAGGCCCTGGGCCTCCAGCTCCCCTGGGCCTCCTGGCTCCCCTGGGCTGTCTCCTTTCCATCCTGGGAGGAGACCTCAGACTCCAGAGTCAGGCTCGGCCACCTCGCAGCCACGTGACTTCTGGGACCAAGGTTTCCTCACCTGTGAGATGGGAGTAATAATCGCTGCCGCACAGGATCAGGATGTGAGGATGGCGTGAGAGCAAGGACACGGGCTGCCAGAGAGTGCCTGTCACACATGGGAGCTCAGGAAATGGGGCCACCCTCACCTCAGGGTTCTCAAGGTCCGTTCCCTAAAAAAAGTGTGGCACACGGAGGCCCGACCATGGGTTGGGGATGCTACTGGCCACCACACCCTTCCTCATCCTCTCTTCCCCTTTTCTCCCCATTCACTCACCACTTCTCCTCAGGCAGGCCGGGTGGGGCCGGGGCAGCCCAGCACAGCGCCATTTCCCCAGGCCTGGGAGCCTGGGCAGGTGGGAGCCGGGGCGTCAGCATGTCAGCGGAGCCCTGACCACATAGGCCAGCGGCTTTCACATACGGGCCTCAGCAGCCCCAGCAGGTTGGGAATGCTGAGCCACATGCTACCCAGGGGGAAGTTACTCGCCCCAAAATAGTGGAACTGGAACTGGATTCCATCTCCGAACCTTCCCACCTTTGCATCTCGACCTCAATCACAAAGTTCAACAACCAGAGGGCAAGAGGGGTTCAGGAAGGTGAACTGCAGGCTTCAGAGATGGGGTGTTCATGGTGGAGCATCCCTGATTGGGGGGTGGGGTGCTGGGGCCACCTGGGGGGGCAGAGGAGGGCTACTTGGGAGCACTGGGGCAAGGTAGAGTCTTCGTGGAATGGGGTTCAGGTTGGTTCCCTCCTACAACCCAGGCCTGCGCCCTGGATGCTACCACACTGATAAGGGAGAGAGGCCCAGGATGGGGGGTAGAGCCTGGGTGGGCAGGGGGTCCGGGCAGCTGGTATTTGGGGAGGACAGAGATTGGAGAGCTGTTGGGTAGGGGAGCAGGAGAAAATACCAGGCAGAGGAAAGAGCAAAGTGGGAAGCAGGAGTCTGTGGGGTGAGGGGGAAGGTCTGGTAAAGTGCAGGGTGGAGGTGAGGGAGGGGAAAGAGGGAAGCTGAGGGGGTCCATTCCCCAGGCCCAGGCATGGCTTCAGCTGTAACTCAGCCTCCCAGGGCAGGGAGTGGGGCCTGCGGAGGACCTGGGAGCCGGCTCCACCTAAAGACACAGAAAACCAATGCGACCCAGTGCAAGGGAGCAAAGGAAGCAGGAGTGAGGGTGGCTCCGGTGTGGGAGCCTTTGCCCTCTCTGAGGCCCTGGCCTGGCCCCTGCAGTCACGGGGGCTCTGCCCAGGCTGGAGGGCAGGCCAGAGGAGGCCAGTGGATACCGAGAAAGGCAGGACCACGTGGCACCCCGGGAGGGGTGGGGGAGTCAGGATGGTGCCCAGGAGGCTCTGGCCATGGCCACGAGGCTGGAGAGCAGCCCAGGCAGGCAGGTGCCCGGAAGGGAAGGAGCAGGCTGGGAGGGACCTGTCGGCCTCACAATCCCAGCAGCTCGGACTTTCTCCTGCCGCTGCAGCGATGACTCAGATGAAACCGTTAGATGGGACGCAGCAGAGGCAGGAGTGAGGGCTGGGCGGGCGGGGCGCCCTGGGAAAGGATTCCAGGCCCAGCCATGCCCTGCGGAACCTTTCCCCCTCCGCAGTGTCTGATCCTGGCGCTCCTGGTGGGAAAGGAGGCTCCGGGAGACCACGGCTATGAAACTAGAAAAGGCAGGGCCGGGCTTCGATCTGTGCTCTCTCCTCTGCGGCAGGGCTCACACACTTGAAAGTGGGAGCAAGGGCCAGACACCAAGACTAATACAACCACAACAATAATGTTGTCAATATTATCTACATGTGCCAGCTAGTGTCCTGCATTCTTTATATATATTTAGCTTATTTAATCACAGCAACCCTTTGAAGTCAGGACCTTTATGTGCTCCATTTGTATAGAAGAAGAAACTGAGGCACCAAGAGGTGAGGCACCCTGTCCAAGTCACACAGCACAGATTTACACTCACACAGGCTGGGGCAGCACCTGCTTCCATAAGCAACATCAACACATCAAACCGGCCCAGGGGCCCGAGGAGAGCCTGAGCTCCTTCTCTTATTAACTGATTTCAGAGAGGGAGAGGGAAAGGAAGATAGAAACATCCACGATGAGAATCACTGATAGGCTGCCTCCTGCACGCACCCTATTGGGGACCGAGCATGCAACCCCGGCAAGTGCCTTTGGCTGGGATCCAAATCGGGACCCTTCAGTCCGCAGGCTGACACTCTATCCGCTGAGCCAAAGGGGTTGTGTGTGTTTTTGACTCTGGCTGCTGCTCAGTGCCAGCCATGCTGGAAGGACTCAGGGTAGCGGGGGCAGTACAGTCTTAAAGGGGAGATAGATAGCTGGGGTTTTCTGTAAAACTCCCGATTTTTTAAATATTTTTATTGATTCGGGAGAAGGAGAGGGGCAGAGAGAGAGACATTAATTGACTGCCTCCTGCATGCTCCCTACAGGGGATGGAGCCCCAAACCCAGATATGTGTCCTGACCAGGAATTGAATCGGCAACCTTTCTGTGCACAGGAGGACACCCAACCAACCGCCTGAGCCACCTTGGCCAGGCAAAACTCTTAATTTTTAAATGTGAGAAACCACTTCAAACTTAAAAGAAAAGAAAAAAACATTTTGAGGACTAAGATATCAGTAATGTCCTATATCTGCAGGCCAGCTCTGTGACTGAGTGCCCCGGGTTCCCGTGGGGCAGAGAGGGAGACTGCAGCCAAAGAGGGAGGCGGGGCTTCCCGGGGAGGGGGCTTTGCAGACTTGTTTCCAGAGGGGATGGGAAGGAGGCACAGGTGGTGGAAGCTCCTGTTCCAGGGCCTCGTGAAAATGTAGAAGGTGAGAGGGTGGGGAAATTGCGAATGAGTCAAGCCCCGATGTTGGGAGCTCAGGTGATGAGAAGGCAGGAGGCAGGGTAACTGGTTGGGTGCCCTGCTGTGCTGTTGGCAGAGGTGGCTTCCATTTGGGCCTGGACGAATTTGAAGCGCGTGTGGGACATTGGGCGGAGATGTTAGCAGGAGCTGGGGATATGTGTGTTTGGAGCTGGGGATATACGTGGATGAAAAAAGAGCCCAGGACAGAGTAAGGTAGCAGCCACATTTTGTGGGTAGGAGATGCTGGGAAGGTAGGAGGACCACGCTAGAAAGGAGGGTTTTCCTGTTCCACTAATGATTGGATTCCCAGAGCAGTTGGAGTTGTGTGTGGAGGGGAGGAGGGGAGGAAGTTGGTCCCTACAGCAATGCTCTTCACAGTGGGGCCCATGGGCCAGCGGTGTCCGCACCACCCAGGGGCTCGCTGGCAATGGCCCATCCTGGACCCACTGACCTTGAATCACTGGAGGTGGAGCCCTCTGGTCCCTCCAGAGCATACCGAGGACCGCTGCTCTGCTCTGTGAAGTAGTTTCCCGCGCCCTGCCCAAGGTGGGTGGGACACAAGGAGACCCTGACCCCCAAGAGGAAGCAGTTGCTGTAAGGAGATCCTCAGCTTTGGAGGCGTCTCTCCTTCCTCAGAGACAACATTGACACAGCCCTTTCAGCATGCTGGCCCCTGTGCCCGGTGCTGCAAATACTTTACCCCGATTTGATCCTTACAGCAGCCCCAGGAAGTGAGTTACTTTATTATTATTATTATTATTATTATTACTATTATTATCATCCCCTATGAGCAGATGCAGACAAACAAGTAACTTGCCCAAAGGCATACCGCTAGCAAGGCAGAGACAGGATTCAAAGTCTACCCACCATGCTGTATGCCTGGGCTTACCCAGCAGGCGCTGGAGGGAGCCAGGGCGACTGGAGGACACCAGCACATGGTGATGGAGGGGCCTGGGGACAGCCTAAGCAAAGCCTTCACAAGCAGGGGGCTGGCTGGCAAGGCCCAGCACGGTCCTCCAGGCAGAGGAGAACACAGCTCCAGTCTGGGGACTGGCCCCAGGACTGTTCTTTGAGAATCCACCCTGGGCTGCACTCTGATTTTCTACCTCGGATCTCTTGTAGGTTTTGGCTGTCTCCGATGGAGGTAAGCGACAGGACACGTGGAGGAAGCCTGGCTGGGGGTGGGGTGGGGTGGGGTGTATGTGAAAATGGGGCAGGATACTCCTGCCACTTGCTACCTTTTCTGGGGAAAGTATCTGCAGATGGGATAGGGCCAACGGGAAGGCTGCCAAGCTCACGTCCACTTGTCCATCCCGCAGAGCTGAGCAGCACGGTGGGACCCCAGGAGCAGAGTGAGGGCCGAGGCAGCTCCCTCAGCGTCCACAGCCTCCCCAGTGGCCCCAGCAGCCCCTTCCCCGCGGAGGAGCAGCCTGTGGCCAGCTGGGGCCTGTCCTTCGAGCGGCTGCTGCAGGACCCGCTGGGCCTGGCTTACTTCACTGTAATCCCTGGGGTCGGGTAGGGAGGGTGGGTGGCAGGTGGGGCTGGGGGCATGGATGGCGCTCCGGGCTGGCCAGTGGGACTCCCGTCAGCTGCCTCTCCCACAGCTTTGCTTTGGCGCCTTTTCTTCTCTCCCAGCCGGGCCCTTGGCTTCCCTCTGTCCTTGTCTCTGTGCTCTGAGTCTGGCCCTGTCTGCTTGTCGGACACTGGGGTCTTGCTTGGCCTCTTGGCCCTGAGTCTCTGTCCCCATCTCTTTGACCACATCCCCGGACTGAGTTTCTGACCCTTCACTCCCCGCCCAGGAGTTCCTGAAGAAGGAGTTCAGTGCCGAGAACCTGACTTTCTGGAAGGCCTGCGAGCGCTTCCAGCAGATCCCCGCGAGCGACACCCAGCAGGTGGGGGGACCGGGGAGCTGAGCACAGAGGTGGGTGGGACCAGGGCCTGGGCGGCGCCCCTGACCTTTGCCCGTCCCGCCTGCCCCAGCTGGCTCGGGAGGCCCGCAGCATCTACCAGGAGTTCCTGTCCAGCCAGGCGCTGAGCCCCGTGAACATCGACCGGCAGGCCTGGGTCGGTGAGGAGGTGCTGGCGGAGCCGCGGCCGGACATGTTCCGGGCACAGCAGCTCCAGGTGAGAGGGCGTGGCCTGGGAGGGACCCCAGAGGAGAAGGGGCGGGGCCAGATCCAGGGGCGGAGCCTGAACGGCGTAGGCAGTGTTTCCCAAACTTGTCTCAAGATGAGAATCACCTGGTGGAGTTGTTAAAATACAGATTCCTGAATCCCAGCTAAGAAGTGCTAAACCAGAATTTTTGGGAACATATAGGTAAAATTGTATACTTAACTAGTGCTCTAAGCTATGGATAAGCGCTAGTTAAGTATACAATTGTACCTATATGTTTAGCACTTCATAGTTGGGATTCAGGAAACTGTATTTTAACAACTCCACCAGGTGATTCTCATCATGAGAGAAGTTTGGGAAACACTGGCGTAGGGTAAGGGGTGCGGAATGGGGAGGGGGAATTTGGTTGTGGGCTTGGGAACAAATAGGGCTGGCGGGCGCTGTTCAGAGGTGGGAACCTGAGGCTGCGGAGATGGAGGGGTCAGGGGCGGGGCCCAGCAAGGCGGGGGCGGGGCTGAGCTGAGACGTGGGCGGGGCCAGGAGCAGGGGCGGGGCCTGGGCTCGGAGGAGGGTCCCTCCCTAGGTTAGGGACCGGGCCAGCTCCGGGAGCCCGGCCCGGGACCCGAGCTCACGGTCCAGGCTCCTGTCGCCTTAGATCTTCAACTTGATGAAGTTCGACAGCTACGCGCGCTTCGTCAAGTCCCCCCTGTACCGCGAGTGCCTCCTGGCGGAGGCCCAGGGGCGCCCCCTGCGGGAACCTGGTTCCTTGCGCCTCGGCAGCCCCGACGCCACCAGGAAGGTGCGGACGCTGGGCTATGGGGGACGGGGACAGGGTGCCCGGTGCAGATCTGCGGGGTGCTCGGGGTCTGCATGCGGTGCCAGTGCCTCCCCTGTACCTGCAGAAGCCGAAGCTGAAACCCGGGAACTCGCTGCCGCTGGGTGTGGAGGAGCTGGGGCAGTTGCCGCCGGCTGAGGGCGCTGCGGGCCGCCCGCTCCGCAAGTCCTTCCGCGGGGGTGAGAGCTGGAGCTGGCCTCGGAGAAGAGTGGGGGCGGGCGTGTGGGCAAGTCTAGAGAATGCCCCTTCCGCCTACTTGTCCCACCGTCTGTACGTTCGTGGCCTCCACGTTCCCCAGGTGGTTTGGTTCCCAGGCGAGACACCAAAAGTCTGGGAAGCTCCCTCAGGAGCGATGCTTGCAGGAACGTTAGACCGGGTGCCTCTGGCAGGCACAGGCCTCAGGAGAGGGACGCGCGTGGGAGGGGCTGCCCTGCTTATGCTCCCTCTCCCCTAGAACTGTCGGGCTCAGCAGCAAATTCGGCCTTGCGACAAGAGAGCCAGGGCTCCCTCAACTCCTCCGCCAGTCTGGACCTGGGCTTCCTTGCCTTCCTCAACAGCAAATATGAGGTAAGCATCCTGCTGGGGGGACAAAGTGCGGGCAAGAACCACTTTGTGTGGCCACCATCATTCCTAGTCGCCATCCCACATGCAGCTCCCCAGCTTGCTCCTCGGAGCCAGTCCCTCCACCTCCTTACTCTCTGCCGTCCTCACCGTATTGGGCCCCAGGCACCTCCTAGCATGGGTGCACCTCCTCTTCACCAGTGTGTGTGCCCAGATGTACACAATATGTGTGTGTGTGTGTGTGTGTGTGTGTGTGTGTGTGGAGGGGGGTGGACCTGCTTCTGGGTGCCCATATGTGTTCCTGTAAGAGGACAGGTGTGCTCTTGGGGGGGGAGGGGTGCATGTGTGCATGTGTGTATGAATGTGTCCCAGTGAGCTTACCTGTCTGTGTACTGTCCGCGTGTCCTTGAATGTGTGCACATGACCTCCTCACCTCTCCTGCCCCGAATCAGTGCCATCGGAAGAGCCTTGGGAGCTCAGAAGGTGAGAGTGACAGCCGGACGGGGAAGTACTGCTGCGTGTACCTGCCTGATGGCACCGCCTCCTTGGTCCTGGCCCGGCCTGGCCTCTCCATCCGGGCCATGATGGCAGGCATCTGTGAGAAACGAGGCCTCTCCCTACCTGACATCAAGGTCTACCTGGTGGGCAACGAGCAGGTGCGAACGTGGCCTGGTCCCCAACTCCAACTCCCTTCCTGATCCTGACCCCGCCCCAGTCCTGTCTCTGCTCAGCTGTGACCTCAACCCCATTGCCTTTTCCAATCCCCTGGACCACTGCTTCGAATCCCATCCCATATCCTCACCCCCTTCCTAACTCCAGCCCCTACCCATCCTACCCCTGTCTCATGCCCAACTCCAAATCAGCTCAGCACCCACCAACTCCTCACTTAAACTCAGATATCCACTCTCAACCTCCAAAATCCTACCTCCTCACCCCCCACTCCCCAGCCCACCCCGCTTTCCAGCTTCATCAATCATCCTCACTCTGGGTTCTGGGGGGCCCAGTAGGGAGAAGCCCTGCTGGAGGAGGTTTTCCTGCAGCACCCCCGCTCAGACTGCCCATCCCTGAAATGACCATTTGGGGGAGCCCTCGCCTCCTCTGCTTCTTGGAGCACATAACCTAGGAAACCCTTCCTTTAGGTGCAAATGAGCATAGCTTTAAAGAGAGGTCTAGAGGAAAGTTCACTTTAAAGGAAGGCTCCCAGTAAGGGGATCTAAGTAAGACTGCCGCTGAAGACCTGCCAGGATTTCATTCACCCCGTAGAGAAGGCTTCAGGCCCTGCCAGGTGGGTGGCAGAGGGCCGTGGCCTAGGCTCTGTCCTCCAGGTCCATGGCGGGGGGTGAGCCAGGCAGGATGTGATCAGGGAGGAGGAGTGGAACCCCCCACCCGGGGGTTTCTGGGGTGAGGTAGGCATTCCTCCTGGAGGAGGCAGCAGTGGAGGAGGAGGAGGAGCTGTGGGAGGAGTGAAGGCCTGGTGGGTAAGAAGTTCAGGGCATGTTCAGGGGCTCAGAGCGTGGGAGTGTGAGGGCCGGGGAGGAAGAGCTCTGCCCATTCCCTCAAGCCTCCAGAGCAGCCTCCACAGCCCGGACTTCCACGTCTGCTAAATATAACGTCACCGCCCACACTCCACCTGCCCCTGCAGCACAGCACAGGCCCGTGGTGAGGGCGGGCTGCCTCCCTGCCGGGGCTGGTACAGGTGGCAGAGCCTCGGGGAGCAGTAATCTCTGCAGCCTGGCCTCACCGTTTATGTACCTACTGTGTGCCAGGCACTGCGCCTGACACTTCCCACCCTCCAGTCCTCACAGCAGACATGGGGAAGAGCCCTTTTTGCAGGGAGGACCCAGGAAGTGTCCTTACTAGGTGGGGAAGGAGAGAAGTGGACAATGTCCAAAAAGGCACAAGGCCTGGATAGGTGCCCAAACGTGGGTGTGGAGGAGGAAGTGCGGCCACTGGTCCAGGTGGGATTCACAGGCCTGAGGGACAAGGGGCAGCTCTCCGGGAGGCAGACCCTGTCCTGGACCAGAAAGAGGCGCTATGATCTAGGACCTAACCCTGCCTCCTACCCAAGCAACCCCATTACCATTTGATGCCGACCCCTCCCCTCCCCCTCCCAGGTTTCCCATAACTCTCTCCTTTTGCAATCTGTCCAGCATTCTGCCACCCTTCTCCCTGGCCTTGGCCATACCAGACTCCGCCTCCAGCCAGGTTCCTAACGCATCCTCCTCTGTGCCTCTCACCTGCCCATCCGCCCTTCCCTCTAACTTTAAACCCTGAAGAGGTGTAGGTGGTCCCCTGGGGCAGCGGGGGTCACCGGGGGTGGGGGAGGACTCAGACCCTGCCTGGCGTCTGCAGAAGGCCCTGGTCCTGGATCAGGACTGCACCGTGCTGGCGGACCAGGAAGTGAGGCTGGAAAACAGGATCACCTTCCAGTGAGTGCCCCTCCCGCCAGGCCTGGGTTGGGGTCGATGTTCTAGCCACTGCACTTCCCTGCAGGTCCTTCCCCAGGCTCTAACACCTCTCCCGGGACTAAGTCCCCGCCCGCCAGCAGGAGGGTCTCCCGGGTTCGGGCCCCGCCTCCCCCCGGGTGGGCGGTGTGGGGTGGGAGGAGGGCGGGCCGGCGCGCCGCCCTTCTGCAGCCCGGGTCCCCGCAGGCTGGAGCTGGCGGCGCTGCAGCGCGTGGTGCTCATCTCGGCCAAGCCCGCCAAGCGGCTGCGGGAGGCGCTGCAGCCCATCCTGGCGAAGCACGGCCTGAGCGCTCACCAGATCGAGCTGCGCCGGGTGAGCCGCGGGGCCGGGGCGGGGGCCGGGCCGGGCGGCGGGAGGCGGGCTGCGGGTCCTGCGGGTGCTGACCTGACCCCGCAGCCAGGCGAGAAGCAGCCGCTGGACCTGGGGCAGCCAGTGAGCTCGGTGGCGGCCCAGAGGCTGGTGTTGGACACTCTCCCAGGTAGGGAATGTGGGCCCCAAGTGTGGCCCCCCGGGGTATGACCGACCCAGGAGTAAGGGGGGGGGGGGGGGGAGAGAGGGATGTGGGCTCCAGGCGGGAGATGGACACAAAAGGCGGCGCTCTCTGCCACAGGTGTGAAGATTTCTGAAACCGGCGACACCTGTCCCCGCCGAAGCCAGGTGAGCGAGAGGCGGAGGGCCTTCCCTTGCCCACCGCACCTCCCCTCCTGCTTGTGGTTCTGACCTCATGTTCTCACAGCGCACCCCGCCTGGAACCCAGGACAAGGGCATCCCCCTCCCTCCACTGCCGCTCAGCTCCCTGGCCGAGGCTCCCAGCAGTGTCACTGGGAAGCGACAGACCTGTGACATTGAAGGTACCTTGGGGAGGGTGGGAGCTAGGGACCAGGGGAGGTGGGACCATTGAGATGGCATCAGGGGACCAAATGTCACTTGAGCTGGAACAGGAAGTTGGAGGGCCAGCAGGGCAGGGGCAGGGGGTGTGGGGGCATCGGGGCAGGGGGGCAGGAGGTGGAATAGTGTGTGTGGGTCTGTGTGGGTGGGCCCCTGACTCTGTGGCCACCACCCCCAGGCCTGGTGGAGCTGCTGAACCGGGTACAGAGCAGCGGGGCCCATGACCAGAGGGGCCTTCTGCGCAAAGAGGACCTGGTGCTTCCAGAATTTCTGCAGCTGCCTGCCCACGGGCCCGACTCCCAGGAGGCCCCAGCACAGACTGAATCATCAGCCAAGCCCAAGAGAGGCCCCTGGGACTCTGCCCTCTGACAGCCGTCCAACAGGCCAGATTGGCCGTGCGGCCGCTAGCGGGCCCAGCATGCCACGGTCCTGCTCCGCATGCCATGTCTGTGCTGTGAGTGTCCCTGGTCCTTCCTGCCACGGGCAGGCCCGGAGGAGGAGCCGGGAGGGTTTGGAGAGGGGCTCTGAGTAGCCACACAGCCACCACCCCTTGGTCCCTCACAGGCTTGCCCTCCATCCCTTGCAGCCAGGCCACTGCGGGGATGTGGGGCTCCCCTCCTTTCTTTCTCTACCCTGTGCAGGCGTGCCCATCACAGAGGGGTGGTGTTGGCAGTGCCAGCCTCCCCACCTGTGCCAGCTTCACCAGGGAGCAGGAGGAGGGCAGGCCCCTCCTCAGGGAGCCAGTATGAGTAAGGGCCGGGGGAGGGGGGCAGTGGGTAGCCCCTCCCTCTAGCCACTGCACTCTGCTGGATGTACAGATTTTGCACTTGCGTTGGGGCAGCTAGGTTTGTCCTGGATGTATAATATTGTTATATAATAATTATTATTATTCTGCCTTGAGGTGTGTTCCTTGTGTACCCTGTACTCCACCCCCTCAAACCACACTGCACCCCCCAAACCACAACACATCTGTCATCAAGGTCACAGGGCGCGAGTGCCCCCTGACTTCCTGTTATCAGGACTTCTCTTCTTGACTGTACAGAGTATGGAGGGCAGAGGGAGAGAGAGAGAGAGAGAGAGAAAGAGAGAGAGAGAGAGAGAGAGAACATTGAAGAGGGAGGGAGAGGAAGGGGAAGACCCTCTGGGCAGCTGTGTCTTTGCTGGGTTTTTCCTTGGTTTCTGATCTGAGTACAGTGTCTACTCACTTTCTGCTTCTTTCTGGGACTGGGGATCCCTGAAGACTTAGCTGTGGTTTCTGTGGATGCATTGAAGGCCTTGTAGGGGGCACTGGGCGTTGCTGCTGGGGCAGGTCCTGCCCCTTTCCTGCTCTAGCTGGGTGGCCTTCCCTGTCCCAGGCAGCCAGGGCAGCCCCATGCAGGGAAGCCCGCCCAGAAGAATGGTCCCGGCCTGTAGGCAGAGAAGCCAGATTCAGTCCCTGTGGTGAGACAGAGGAAGCAAGGGGACACAGGAGATGCAAGATGGTATCTGGGGAGTGAGGGGTCCTTTTTTTTTCTAAAAATATATTTTATTGATTTTTTACAGAGAGGAAGGGAGAGAGATACAGAGTTAGAAACATCGATGAGAGAGAGTCATCAATCAGCTGCCTCTTGCACACCCCCTACTGGGGATATGCCTGCAACCAAGGTACATGCCCTTGACCGGAATCGAACCCGGGACCCTTCAGTCCCCAAGCCGACGCTCTATCCATTGAGCCAAACCGGTCCTGGCATGAGAGGTCCTTTAAAAAAAAAAAAAAAAAAAATATATATATATATATATATATATATATATTATTGATTTTTTACAGAGAGGAAGAGAGAGGGATAGAGTTAGAAACATCAATGAGAAAATCATTGATCAGCTGCCTCTTGCACACCCTCTACTGGGGATGTGCCCACAACCAAGGTACATGCCCTTGAATCGAACCCGGGACCTTTTAGTCTACAGGCCGATGCTCTATCCACTGAGCCAAACCGGTCTTGGTCTGAGGGGTCCTCTTGATCACCTCACCAGGCTGAGCTCTCATCCCCACTCCAGCTCTTTGCACTTCCTGTCACCTCTGCTGGCAGCTCCAGTGGCACCACCACCCCACCATGTCACTGGAGAGACGGGGAGGGGAATACGTTGCTGGCCCACTATGCTTTTCTCCAGACGTCAAAGCCAAACCTTCCTATCTAAGAGGGCTTCAGCACTCTGCCCCCTCAGTCCATGTTGTTGGGCTGTGTTGACTCCTAGCTGCTGGCATGAGCTCATGACCCAGGCCTGGCCAGTCGGTTTAGTTCAGGGATGATCTCACGCAGTGAGAACACCAGTCCTGGCCATTTTCTACCATCTCCCAGGGACGTGCAGAAAGGACCTGCAGGGAGAGAACCTACATGCAAATGAAGGCAACACAGGAGACAAGGACTGAGAGACGGAAGGAGACTCCTGACAAAATTATCTAAATGCCTACATTCCTGCACGCTCCACGTTAGCTACCTGTAGACTTCCTCCTGTGATAAGCCCACGCACTGATTCTCTGGATGTGGGTCTAGTTGTTACTATACTGGGGTTTCTACGATCTGCAACCACAGAGTCCTGGTTCATTGAAGCTCTTGTCTTAAACACCTCAGAGGAGCCATCCCTCGTCACCTCACACTGTGACCTGTGTGTGTGTGTGTATGTGTGTCCCCACATTCATATGTTCAAATCCCAACCCGCAGAGTGATGGTGCTTGGAGGTGGAAGGTGATTAGTATGAGGGCAGTCAGTGCCTTTATAAGAAACCCCAGAGAGCTGCCTCATCCCTCCCATCACGTGAGGGACACACCGAGAAGACAGCCCTCGGCTCTCGGCAGCCTGAAGAGAGCTCTACCAGACCCCAGCCATGCTGCCACCCTGGTCTCAGACCTCCAGCCTCTGCAACTGTGAGAAATACGTCCTGTTGTTTATAAGCCACCCAGCCTCTGGCAGAGTTGTTCTGGCAGCCCACGTGGACGAAGACATCACATCCCAAGTGCTCCCCAACGTTATTCTCTACCATGTCACCCAGCTTTCTTCCTTCACAGCACGCAGCCCACTCTAACAACCTTATTTGCTCATTTACTAATACACCCGTTTGCTGACCATATGCTGTAGGTGCCTTAATGGCAGGGACCTCGTCCCTCTTTGTCACCTCTGTATCCCCTTGGCCTAGAGGGCTGACAGATGATGCCACCGCCTCGGGTGGTCCCAACAAAGGATGCAGGGCTAACAGGGCAGTGGGGGTCCTGGGCAGCGGACAGCTTAGCACCGGGTCACAGCCTGTGGCTGGAGATGTGGGTAGGGAGACAACCCCTGTCCCTTCCCTGATCAGCTGCAGAACCCCTCACACTTCCTGGGCCCCAAGGCCTCACCCTGTGTCAGGAGACACTTCTCCATGCCCCAGGGTAGAGAGGTGGGGGCACGAGGTCACAGACAGGGTATCTTCTCAAAGTGGCAGATCCTCAGGCCAAGCCCACCCTTCCGCAGACCTCCCAACCGCCAGTGATGTGCCTGCCACGCTGAGGGACCAAGGAGACTGCCTCATGAGAAAGGGGGCCGTGAGTCAGGTGGATGAGTCTTCCTGAAGGCTGGCCCCTGCAGGGGGAGGAATTCACATCTACCAAGGCCCCCACTTTGGCACGTTCCATCCTTTATCTCATTTTCGTCACAACAAAGCAGCCCAGTGGGTCTGAAACCAGCGCTGCAGGAAGGAAGGGAAGTGACCAGCCCAGGATTCTGTAAGCAGCTTGACCAGCCAGCCCCCAGGCTCTGACTTGGGGACACACCCAGGAAGGGCCTGGATGCTGCAGAAATTCCTGCTGGGGAGCCAGGGCCCTTTCATGGAGGGGACATAGATATGGCTGCTCTGGGAGGCAGTTTGGGAATTTCTGCTGACAATGAAAACCACACAGCAGAGCCACTCACTCCTGGGCATGACCTGAAAACTGGCCAACAGCCAAATGTGCACGGTGAGGGGTGCAGTGGGTGGGGAGGGTAACAATACTTGGTGGTGTACCCATGCTCTGCAGTGCCACAGCAGGTAAGGAACTGAGTACAGTGTGTCCTGATGTGGAAAGTTCTCCAAGATGTGTCATTATTCTTAAAAAAAAAAAAAAAAAAAAAATAGAGCAATGCATATGGCATGAGATCTTTATATAAACCACAACCACACAGGCATTTGATGGTGAACAGAAAGGGGAGGGAATGTTCTAGAAGAATACATGTCAAACTGACGGGGGTAGAGGTCAAAGGAGATTTTCACCTTAGTTTTAATTTTCGTTGTTGTTAACCCTTATCCAAGGACATTTTTTCCATCAATTTTTAGACAGAGTGGGAGGGAGGGAGGGAGGCAGAGAGAGAGAGAGAAACATGGATTGGTTGCCTCCTGCATGTACCTGGCTGGGAGCAAGGGATCAAACCTGCAACCCAGGTACATGCCCTTGACCGGCAATCAAACCCATACCCTTTGGTGCACTGGCCAACAGAACGCTGTCCAGGGCCTAGCTTTATTTATTTATTCATTCTTTATATGTTTTTTTTTTTTTTTAAATATATTTTATTGATTTTTCACAGAGAGGAAGAGAGAAGGATAGAGAGCCAGAAACATCGATGAGAGAGAATCATTGATCAGCTGCCTCCTGCACACCCCCACTGGGGATGTGCCCGCAACCAAGGTACATGCCCTTGCCCGGAATCGAACCTGGGACCTTTCAGTCCGCAGGCCGACGCTCTATCCACTGAGCCAAACCGGTCCCGGCTCTTTATATGTTTTATTGATTTTTCACAGAGAGGAAGGGAAAGAGATAGATAGCCAGAAACATCAATGAGAGAGAATCATCGACCAGCTGCCTCCTTCCCACCCCCCACCGGGGATGTGCCCACAACCAATGTACATGCCCTTGACCGGAATTGAACCTGGGACCTTTCAGTCCACAGACTGACGCTCTACCACTGAACCAAACCGGTTTTGGCCTAGCTTTATTTTTTTAAAGGATGCAATTTAAAAAATAATCAACCTCTGTGTCACTGCTGGCCTGCCAGCCCTTTCTCCATAATAAAACCCAAGTCTTCCTTCGGGGCTTCACGCACCACCTGGAGGCACATTCTGGCTGCCCGGGCTGTTCTCTGCCACCTTCCCCTCTGTGACCCCTCCTCCAACATGTCCTCTGCAGCTGACTGGACGGAGGGGAATCTTCATTCCCAGAATCCCTCAGCCCTGAGCCCTCATCCTCTCAGCCCCACCAGGCCCAGAGGCAGGGGATCAGTTGGTCAACCCACAGGCCCTGTCCCAAAGCCCCTGCATGGATCTAGACTCCCGGTGCTTGAGAGGGTCCCACGGCTGCTTCCCCTCGCCTCACAGGGTGGGAA